GTGATGATGATGATGATGATGATGGTGATGATGATGACGATGGTGGTGGTGATGATGATGATGATGATGATGGTGGCGATGATGATGGTGATGATGGTGATGATGATGATGGTGATGATGATGGTGATGATGATGATGGTGATGATGGTGATGATGATGGTGATGATGGTGGTGGTGATGATGATGACAATGGTAGTGATGATGATGGTGGTGGTGATGATGATGATGATGGTGATGATGATGATGGTGACGATGGTGATGATGATGGTGACGATGATGATGATGATGGTGACGATGACGATGGTGATGACGGTGATGATGGTGGTGGTGATGATGATGATGATGATGGTGATGATGATGGTGATGATGATGACGATGGTGGTGGTGATGATGATGATGGTGATGATGGTGATGATGATGATGGTGATGATGATGGTGATGATGATGATGGTGATGGTGATGATGATGGTGACGATGGTGACGATGGTGGTGGTGATGATGATGATGATGGTGATGATAATGATGGTGACGATGGTGATGATGATGGTGGTGGTGATCATGATGATGACGATGGTGACGATGACGATGGTGATGATGATGGTGGTGATGATGATGATGGTGATGGTGATGGTGATGATGATGGTGACGATGGTGACGATGATGGTGGTGGTGATGATGATGATGATGGTGATCATGATGATGACGATGGTGACGATGACGATGGTGATGATGATGGTGGTGACAATGGCATTCATATTTACAAAGTCCTTTACGTGTGTTATTTGATGCGCACAAAAGTCTTGTGAAGTAGGAATTGCTATTTTGCCAATGAGGAAAACTCTCTGAGGCCCAGAGAGTTTGTGATTGCTCAGTTAGTAAGTATCAGTGATGGGAATTTGAACCCAGGTCTTTTGAATCTAGGTCCAGTGTTCTTTAAATGGGGACTAAATTGTGGAATAGCCATTGGGGAACCAAAAAAGTGATTTGTGAGTAGGGGCATTTTTCAGTTGTTTCAGGCGTGTCCGACTCTGTGAGCCCATTTGGGGTTTTCTTGGCAAAGATACTGGAGTGGTTTGCTATTTCCTTCTTCACCGTGTTCTATAGATGAGGAAACTGAGGCAAACAGACTTAAGAGACTTTCCCAGGGTCACAAGGCTAGTGAGTGACTGAGGTCAGATTTGAACTCTGGGAGAGGAGGCTTCCTGACTCTTGGCCCAGTGCTCTGAGTGGGTTATGTCCCAGATTAATGCGGTATTTTGGGGCTCGGCCAAGTTCCATCCCTGAGGAGAAGGCATGGTTAGCTAGGCTTACCTTCCAGATTTATCTGGCAGTACCTAGTTAGCTACCTGTTGGCCTCCCCCGCTAGAAGGGAGGCTGCCTGAGGGCAGGGAGCGTGTGCTCTTTTCTGGGCGTCCCTAGCCCTTAGCTGGGTGCCTGGCGCAGAGTACGAGCTTCGTGGCTTGCCTGCTTGATTTTAGTGGTCAGCACTGGCAGGGAATGGGAGCTGGGGGTGGGAGACTCCTGGTGCAGCAGCTCTTTTCACCACTGGAAATTGCAGCGCATCAGAATAGAGAAGGTGTAACAGGGCTGGGGAACCTGTGAGTGTCCAGGCCATGTGTGGCCCTCTAGGTCCTCAAGCATGGCGCTGTGACTGTATCCAGACCTCATAGAACAAATCCCCTTCATACAAGCATTTGTCAGAAGACTGCGCCCGAGGACCTAGAGGGCCACATGTGGCCTGGCGGCTGCAGGTGCCCCAGCCCTGGTGCAAAGTGTTTTGTGGAGGCCACGTTTGCTTATTATTGTGATCTCTCAACACATCAGATCTTCGGGAATCGCCTGCAGCTCAGAGATGCCTTGAGTTAGGTCAGGTCAAGGCAGGGTTCAAACCCAGGTCTTGCTGACCCTCCTCCCCCCACCCAAACATGATCTTCACCTGTGTCTGAGATCATTTTGGGGCGTGCACCAGACGTGGCCCCCTGGGGTGACCTGCTGCTAGCAGTGAGCAGGGGTTCCCCTCCTGCTCATTTAGACGAGCCCTCAGGGGCCCCTTTCAGCTTTCAGGGCTCCAAAGCCCAGGGGTCCTACCCTGTCTCAGGGCGGGAGAGGTGGGCAGGGCCCATTTGCCAAATCTCCAAGGACCTTCTTGGTGAGGGAAATGGTGTCAGAGGGTCACTGGTCTTTATCTCCTTGTTGGAGGTATTCCTACGGTGGGGGAAAGGATGAGAAATTTATTTGGAAGCTATTAGACGTAGTGGATTATGCCTGTAGACTCCATCGTGTCCACGTTGAAAAAGGAGGATTGGGGAAGGGGGAGGGGGCTGGCTTGTCTTGGACCCCTTGGAAGAAGACCGATGAGCCAGGGACCCCGAGGACCCCAGGAGAAGGCAATTTCAGGGTGTAGGCCTCTCTCACATCAGGTGGGAGATGCTAGTTTGGGCAGGACCAGGGAGACCTGCTGATTGCCCGGCAAGGCTGTCGGATACCCTGGGAATCAGGAGGCCTGGGCCTGGCTTCTGCTAGGCCACTGGGATGTGGTTTCCCGTGGCAAGCCCAGTGTTTCTCTAGAGCTGGCATTCTAGGTGGCTCCTTCAGTTTGCAGGAGACATTGGGGTGGGGTGGGGTGAGACAGGGCCTGAGGCCTGGCTTGGAGTATTAGGAGGCCTGTCACAGAGAAGACTCGCGGGCTTTTGGAGAGGGAAGGGACCTCAGCAGGGGTCACCCCCCCCAAAGGCGTAGCCTCCCTACACCGTCCCCCCCCCAAGTGGCCGTTCGGCCTCTGCTTGGAGAAGGGGGAGCCCAGCGCCTCCCCAGGCAGCTTGGCCGCTTTGGGACCTCTCTTCTTGCTAGGAAGTTCTTCCTGATAGCCAGCCTCAGTTGGCCACTTTGTTCCTGGGTCTGCCCCTGCTGCCCAGCAGGACAAATCCTTCTGATGCCCCCCCCCACTTCAACCCAGCTCTCATGCCCCCACCCCATGTATTCTCTTCTCCAACTGTGGCATCTGGCCGAGGAGCCACTGCTTCGACTCCCACCTTTAATAGTTGAGGAAACGGAAGCCTGCCCAGGGAGGTGGGCAGATGGGGGAAAGTCATGCGGGTAGATTTGAACCCAGGTCCTCCGAATTGACAGCCAGTGGTCTTCCCAGGGCAGCAGCTGTTTCAACTAATTTTCCTAGCCCAGTTGCCTCCTGGATGCCATCCAGCTCACCAATGTCCCTCCTAAGGTGTGGTGTCCGCAACTGAACAGTCTCTTTAATTTAAGGTTAGTGTGATAGATGTACAAGTGGCCAAGATGCTCATGGGACAGATCACTCAACTGTGGGCATCCAGGAAGGCTTGGTGGAGGAGGTGGCCTTGAAGGTGTGGGCCTTGAAGGATGGGTAAGGGGGGGAGCAAGCAGTCATTCCATATTGAGCAAAGACCGTGAGCGAAGATAAGACAGTCTCAAAAATATTCAGGGACCACCTGTTTTGGGGGAGCCAGCTAACCATTGTGGTGTTGATTCATCCATCCATTCATTTATCCATCCACCCTTCATTCATTCACTCAGCAAACATCTGCGTTCAGTCTGGTGACAATCAGGTAACAGATGCTTCCTCTGGGTCGGCCCTGGCTGAGTGTGGGGAAGATGGCAAAACTCAGCGAGGCCCTACCCTCACGCCTGGACTCAGCTCTCCAACTCCCTTGTCCTCGGACCTGCCCGAATACCTTCCCACCCCGGAGATGCCTCCACCCCGAGGCCCCTTCTCCAGGCGGGGATTGCCCCAGGATGCCTCACCTCACTGATGCCTCAGTTTACTTTCCATGTCATTCCTCTTCCTCACCTGTTGCCTTGCCCCCTTCTCTCTTATGCCTCCCTCTCCCTTTCTGCTTCCCCTTTATGTGGTGTCCTCCCCCTGCAGAGTGGAAGCTCCTCCAGAGAGGGGCTGTCTCCTTTGCCTGGCTTTGTATCCCTGGTGCTTTGTACAGGGTCTGGAGTATGGCAGGCACTCCCTTCCCCCCTTCCTCCTTCCTTCCTTCCTTCCTTCCTTCCTTCCTCCCTCCCTCCCTTCCTCCTCCCTCCCTTCCTTCCTCCCTTCTCCTCCCTCCCTCCCTTCCTTCCTTCCTTCCTCCCTCCCTCCTCCTCCCCTCCTCCCTCCCCCTCCTCCCTTCTTCCTCCTTCCTTCTTCCTTCCTTCCTTCCTCCCTCCCTCCCTTCCTCCCTCCCTCCCTTCCTCCCTCCTCCCTTCTTCCTTCCTTCCTCCTTCCTTCCTTCCTTCCTTCTCCTTCCTTCCTTCTTTCTTCCTTCCTTCCTTCCTTCCTTCCTTCCTTCCTTCCTTCCTTCCTTCCTTCCTTCCTTCCTTCCTTCCACATTTGTTATCTGTCATTTTTGTTTATCTCTGTATCTGTCTTATCTATCAATCCATCAGCTCTCTCTCTCTGTCTTTCTGCCTGTCTAACCGTATCAGTCACATGGCTGTCTGTCTATCTATCTATGTTGTCATTATCTACTAAATCTGTTAAATATTTGTATTCATCTCACTATTATTTGTCTGTCTGTCTGCCTGCCTCTCTCCATCTGTCTCTCTGTGTCTTCCTCTTTTTCTGGTGCCTGGTATACAGGGGGCAGTATGCCATAGTGGATAGGACTCTGGACTTGGACTCAAGTAGAGATCAAACCCGGCCTCAGATACTTGCTAGCTGTGTGACCATGTAACCTCTCTCAGCCTCGGTTTCTTCCTCTGTAAAATGGGAATATTGGTAGCCCCTAGACCTGGGGTTGTGAGGATCCCAGACATGGGGCAGGCAGTAGGGGAGACGAAAGATGCAGAAGGCCTTGCTGTGGACCTCGGGAAGCCCGCAGTGTTGTTGCAAGGTCAGACGTGTGTGTGGACCAGTGCAGTGCAGATTGGGTGTTCAGAGTGCCGGTCAGTCTTCTGAGCTGCCTGGGGCTGGGCCTGACGAGGAGCCGGCCCACTGGACTCAGTTGCTCAGCCTGTCTCTTTGTGTGCCCACCGTGCAGGCTCAAACCATGAATTACGTGGGACAGTTAGCAGGCCAGGTCTTCGTTACGGTCAAGGAGCTCTACAAGGGTCTGAACCCCGCCACGCTGTCCGGATGCATTGACATCATCGTGGTGCGTCAGCCCAACGGCAACCTTCAGTGCTCGCCCTTCCATGTCCGCTTCGGGAAAATGGGGGTGCTGCGCTCCCGGGAGAAGGTGGTAAGTGTGGCCCCTGCAGGAGCCCGGCACTCCCCGGACAGTGCTAACGAGCAGCGTTTATTAGGAATGATCCTCGGTGGTGGAGAGCCACTCCTACCGGTGAGGAGTGGTCTGTCACCCAGGGGTCTGAGGAGACGGGGATCAGAGCCAGCTCTGGCGTGGCCCCAGGGAAGGCATCTGACCACTTCCTGCCTCAGTCTCCTAATCTGCAGAAGGAGGATAATCATAAAAATACTTGTTACCTCTCTCACGGAGTTATTGGGAGGAAATACTCCTTAAAGCGTAGAATATGATTAAATATAAGCAGCTAGAATATTAATGACTGATCTTCAGTATCCATAATAATATTATTAAATATCATTAATGATTAATAGTCATTATTAATAATCACCATTACTAATTAACAACATTAATTATCATTCATGAACAATATTTATTATTATAATGAAGGAATAACCTTCATTATTAACAATCATCATTATTAATGATTATCTATTATCAATATATTAATGAACACTGTTCATTATTAATAATCATTACTATTAGTGAATACTGTTAATCCTTAACGCTCATTACTATTAACGTATGTGAAGTGCTTGTGGTGCTATATAAATGCTAGCTATTACTGTTAATAATTAATGCTCCACTACTATTAGTGGGAGGAGACCCTGTGACCCCCTTTGATGCCAGTCGAAGATCTTGCCTCAGAGGAAGGAAGCGCTGAGTTTAAATCCCAGGTCTGCCCTTTTTTAGGATGCATGTCTTCATGGGAGTCATCTGTTTGTGCCTCAGTCTCCCAATCTGTGAAATGGCGATAGGAATCAAAATGCATCTGTTCCCTCTCTCACAAGGTTGTTGTGAGGGAAATAGTCATTAAAGCCTGAATATAGAAATGTTGGTGGTCATGATATGAATGAATTGCACCAGTTATCAAGAATTCATCATGCTGAATGAGTTACCATTCCTTATTATTTGTGATAGACAATGGTTTTTTAGTAACTGGCATTATTCACTAATACTATAATCACTAACATCTATACACATATATATTTGTTAATTATATATGCTGTTCCTGTGGCAGAGGGGTCTCTTGGATTGAGGGCTGCTTGGTGTCAGGGCATCCTGGGTTCTAGCCCCAAGCTCTGCCTCAGTTTCCTCGTCTTTAAGGGGAGGAGGTCAGAAGTTCTCTCAGGTTCCCCAGCACCTCTCTCGGCTCTTTGAGGCAGAGCAGGGCCAGGCTGCATTCACAGGGAACTTCCTCCCTGCGAACTCCCTATATCATTGCAATCTCATTGCAGTCTGCTTAAAAAAAAAAAGCCACCCACTCTTCTTAGAGATTGCCGCTTCTTAAAATAGTGTCACACTTAGACTCCTAAGTATGTGGAGAGGGGAATGCTGGCTTCTCCGGACTGCTCCTCATCCCATAACTGAGCCCATCCTCCACTCCTGGTGTGTGTGTGTGCAGGGCTGGGCTCCCCACGCAGGCTCAGGCCCAGCCTTCCCAGCTCCTCTCCCCTCTGCCCCGCCTGCTGGCTTTTTGTCGCTTTTCTGATGAGCGAGGGGATGCTTGGAAGGGTCTGGTCTCCATCCTGGGTCTCGCTTTCCTCATGGGCCAGCCTCCGGGGATCGGCCTCACTGGTCTTTCAGGGCCCTCTCAGCCCAGGTGTCCTCCACTCTGCCCGTGTGCCACGGCGTCCTTCCTGATCCCGAACCCTCTGGGTGCGGTGGGTCTATTGCCCTGAGTACGGCCCAGTTGGACGTGACCCAACCAAGTACCAATTGGGAGGCTCACTGGCTCTGTTTGCCTTCCCAGGCAGGAGAGGTGGGGATGTGGGGCCGTGTCTGATTCCCCTGTATGTGCAGAGGTGATCCTCGGGGGTGGAAGGACCTCCTTTGACAGTTGGCCCAGTGTGTGAGAGCGAGGTGGGATTCTAACTCGGGGCTTCTTGGCTCCGAGGCCCACACTCCCCCCGCCCGAAGGCCCCTGACGTCATTGGAGTCTCTGCTTCCCACAGGTGGACATTGAAATCAATGGGGAATGTGTGGATCTGCACATGAAGCTGGGAGATAATGGAGAAGCGTTTTTTGTTCAAGAGACGGACAATGATCAGGTGAGCCCCTTCTCTCACGGCCCGGTCTGTATTGGGGTTATGCCTGCTGGGGTTAAATCCGTCTGTGTATGTGTCCTCATATGGCTGTGTAGACATGTGTGTGTTGTGTGTGTGTGTCTGCATGGACACATTCACAGACACATTCGTATATACACATGCATGTGCATACATATCGAGGTGTGTATGTGTATGCACACATGCGACACACATGCACACATGTATGTATGTATCTACACGGATATGTACATAGACACATTTGTATATGCACATGTGCGCACGTATATTTAGGCGTATATATGTATAGACAGCGTGACATACATGTACATGTGTGTGTGTGTGTGTGTGTGTGTGTGTGTGTGTGTGCAGGTGTGCACGCACAGAGTTTTATCTGATTTCTTTGAAGGAAGAGATAAAAGCCCTGTCACGACCCGTGGCTGGCATCCTTAGCAGAATGATACCTTCCTCCTCGGGAGCTGGGGGATGGATCCAGGAAAGTGTGGGAGACCCGGGGGCAGATCTGTTGGTTGCCCTGTGACCTTGTGTGGGTCATTTCCCTCCCTGGGCCTATCCACAAGGGCAGGGACCATCTCCCTTTGGTGTGGATTGCTGCAGGGCCTGGCATGGAGTTGGGGTAGGGACCCATGAAATCATGGCATGGAACTCCCAGATGTGTAAACTCTCTTCACCCTGCTCATTGGTGCCGTCTGTGAAATCAGCAGCCTTAGAGTGACTCCCAGGGCTCGTCATCGATGCGGCTGCTTTTGACTGACCTGTGAAATGTGCAGATGAGATTCAGTTCCCTCTGAGGTTCCTCTGAGCGAGTGCTAAGGCTGGGATTGATCTCATGTTCTCAGCCTGGACTGATTCCTCAGCCCTGCCCTGGAAGGACAGGCCAGCCTCTGGCCTCCCAGCGGCCTGCGCCTTCCCCGGGAGAACCGTCCATCATAGCTCCAGCAAAACTGAAAAAACAACAATTTACTGAGCCTCAGACCGTACTCAAATATTATTTTTTCCCCCAAACACATTTTTGTGAGTGAATATTTTAAAACCCTGAGTAGGTGGCCTGGCTTGAACCTAGCCTGGAAGGACACAGTGAAATGCTAATTCAGGTGCCCTCTGGAGTCGGGCTTCGCAGGCAGCCTTGCTAGGAAGAAGCCCCCAGTCCCCCCCCAACCTCCCAAGTAGTCAGCCATGCCCTAGGGCTGTGCCCACTTGGGCAGTCACTTCTGCCACGTCTGGCTGAGTGGAGATCTCTCTCTTTGTGAAGCTCCAGCCTCAGTGAAGGGCTTGGAGAAGAGGGCTGGAATAGAGGGGTGCAGAGCGGGGTGGAGTAAAGGGGTGAAGAGAGGGGTGGGGTAGAGGGGTGCAGAGTAGGGCAGGGTAGCGGGGTACAGAGCGGGGCCGGGTAGAGGGGAGTGAGGTGGGGCGGGGCGGGGTAGAGGGGTAAAGAGAGGGGCGGGTTAGAGGGGTGCAGAGCGGGGCGGGGTAGAGGGGAGCAGAGCGTGGTGGAAAGGGTGCTTGGCTTGGAGTTAGATGACCCGAGTTCAAATCTTACCCCTGTTAACTTTATTGTGATGTGGCCTTAAGCAATTCAGAGCCCCCTCCCTGGGCCTCAGTTTCCTCATTTGTAAAATAAAGGTGTGGGGATAGGTGGCCTCCTTCTAGTGCTTACTCAGTAAATACTTTGATCTTAAGGTGATCCAAGTATTGAGAACCCATTTTCTTTTCAATTTTATAAATATCTCAATTTGCAAATTTATTACATTTTATGAATATTTCAAGGGAAAACAGAGTATTCCTCTTTCAAATCAGCTGTTTCTCATTGAATATCTCAAGTTTAAAAAAAAAGTCACAGGTTCTAACCCTACGTCTACCCAGTAAATGCAGTGAGGTGTCCTGCCTACACACTCGTAGGACCATTGGGTTCTCAGTCCACTGTGGCCTTTGATGTAATTTTGCTGCCATTCTTTTCCTGGGCCACCATTTTCCAACTATATTGAAAAGCTCGGGATTCTTGAATGGGTTTGAATCCCGCCCCTTTCCTTTGTGACCAAGGGTAAGTGACTCCCATCCTTACAGCGAAGGAGTCCAGGTAGGCCACTCTGAGGCCCCTCCAGGCTCTGATCCCAACAGAGGATGCTTCCCATGTCCTTCCTCCCTTCCTCTCCTGCAGGAGGTGATTCCCTTGCACCTAGCGACATCCCCCATCTTGTCGGAGGGCTCCATGCACATGGAGAGCCAGATCAAGCGCAGCGCCCTGGAGCGGGGCAGAAACCTGGAACCCTGCAGCTCCGCGCAGCCGCAGGCAGTGAATGAGATGCTGTCCGCAGGCATGTCTGTGAAGAAGAGGAGGAAAAGGAGGAGGAAGTGTCAGCTGGACAACCTCAAGCGAGATGACAGCGTCCACACTTCGGAAGAGGAGGACCTGTTTCCCATCGAGATGAGCTCTGATGAGGACTTGGTGTCTTTGGATACTGCTAGGTAAATAATAGTCATAGTGGGGGTGACTGAGCATGTTCTTGGCAGAATTAGAGAAGAGCAACGCCGAGCTCGGTCTTCTCCTCTGATAAGAGTAAACTTCCAAAAGGGGGGGCCCTTTATCCTCAAGCTGGAAATGATGTTAATCATTCAACAGGTGCTTTCTGGGGGAGGCAGTGTGCAGTTATCTGTCTCTGGCCAGCCTTGCTATCGGAAAGACCTGAGTTCGAGTTCCTGCCCCTCACACAAATTGGCTATGTGATCCTGGTTGGTTCTGCCCCTTACTATCACAGAAACTCTCCAGGACTGTAAAGAGCAGAGCAGAAGCGATCTCTACTGGTTAAGGAATTCCTCACTGAGAGATGCTGTTAAATCATGAGTCTGGTCCAAAAACGTGTAACAGCTTGTATTTATAGAGCCCTTTAAAGTGATTTACGTATATCATCCCATTGGACCTTTACAAGTGCCCTGTGAAGTAGGTCCTCTTATCATTCCCATTTTATGTAGGAGAAAGCCAAGGCTGAGAAGGAAGGTCACATAGCTATAAGTGTCAGAGGGCGGATTTGAACTCGGGTCTTCCAGACTCCAAGTTCTGCATTTTGTCCTTTCTTCACAACAACCTTATGGAGTTGCCTTTGCCAGTATTATTTCACAGACGAGGAAACAGGCTCAGGGTGGTCCCACGGTGGCTGAAATGTCAGACCGGGGCCTCAGTCCCGTCTGAGAAGGCTGAAATCCTCGTGGCCCGGGCCACGCCTTTTGGTTTTCTGTTTCTATTTCTGAGACCAAAGACAAAGAGGATTTATGCTTGTTCGGCTAGTGCCAGGCCCTGTTTCCATAGAACAGCTGAATCGTCCTTGGGTGGAATGCACATAGACTTGGTTTGGGACGGGTCACTGTCCTGCTGTCACCACTGTGGGGTGAGGGCAGGTCCCTGGGTGGACAGAGCAGCGGCTTCCCGTGGATGGAGAAGGACATGCCGATCTTCGGCAGGCTGAGGCCTGGTCAGCGCCAAACAGGCCCGGACGGGCATGATTCAGAGTGGATTCTCTTTCCTGCGTGGCATTGATTTCTGCTGCTGCATCTGCAGTTAGCCTGGGTGGGTCTGGGATAACAGGCTGGCGTCTCCAGGACGTTTGGCCTGTCTGTATTTAAGAATGTGGAGATTTGTCATGTTAATTGATGGGAGACAGAATTCTGGCCACCTGGCCATGGCTTTCTGGTTATTCAGTAGGCGCTCAATGTTTGCAGCCTGCAGTGATATGTCACATGGTTATAATGTGTCCCTGCCTAATTTACATTGATCACCAAGCCCAGGCTCCTAAAGGTTAAGCCTCTGCTAATCTTTGGTGTGATGACCCATTCCTGCCCACCGACATTTCCATAAGCAAACCCACATGATGCTGCCTTTTATTTCACACTTCTTTGTGATCAGAGTTCACGTGGATGCCTCCCACAAAGGGCGTTTGATGACGATAATGCGCTTCCACGTCTTTAAACTCCTTAAATTTACAAAATATTTCCCTCGTGACACTGGGGGGAGGTGTCATGTTATCTGTTATCCCCATTTTAAAGATGAGGAAACTGAGGCTGGGAGAGCAGAAGCAGCTTGCCGGTGGATTCCTGGCTGCCTCTGTAACTCGAATTTCCCTCTCACTTAGGCTTACAAAGCACTTTCTGTCCGTTTTCTACTTGGTGGGCCCAAAGGTGGCATGGAGAAGCCTTGGGCAGGAAGGACGCCAGAGACTCGCGTCATTCACACCAGCATCGTGACTTTGGATAAGTTACTCTTCTCAGAGTTTGAGTTTCTTCCTCTGTTAAAGAGGAAGCTGGTGATTCCTCAGGCCCCTTCTGCCTCTCAATCTCATAAGTATTCTTTGCCGTCTTTGTATTTTCTCTCTCTGGAGTGGACAGGGCCCCATCTAGGAAGCTGATAAGGTATGACCACTGTGGAGATCTCACGTCACCAGCATGGAGCAACAGAATTTACCACAAAGCCTTGTTCTTTTGAAAAACAAATTTTTGTTGACCTCTCATGGCCACGATTTTTCCTTGTATGCTAGAGAGCCATCCCGCATAACAGAAAATTTATCAGAAAGGTTTGAATGGGATATTGTGTGGGACGGAAAGAGTCCCCATGCTGAGGAAGAAATGCTCAGATGTTTGCATGCATGGAGAGTTTTAAAAAATGGTCATTGTGGAAATGACGGTCATTCTAATTGCTGTTCAAATACACCAGAGAAGCTGCCCTTTCCAGTTTTCACTCATGTGTGCCCTCTCTGGCTCTGTGTGACTCCCTCTTCCCTCGTGCCTGGGACTGGCTTGTCCGGGGGCCTGAGGAAGAAGGTGATGGTGGATGACCGCCAAAGCTGGTGACCCTCTCTGGTGCCCAGGGTCGGGGTCTGCTTTCCCTCCACCGATGTCGGCCGCAGTCCATCCACACCTCACTCAGAGTAATTCCCATCAGTCTAATTATTCCATTTGCAGATGGGGACACTGAGGCCAGATGGAGCATGCGAGAGAGAATCTTTCGTAAAAAGTCTCCTGAGAATCTCTTTGAAGAGGTTAAGTGATTTTCTCAGAGTCACAGAATCACGGCCTTCTCAGGCTGGAAGGGACCTCAGTGTGGCCCAGGCCTAACCTGACCAAGAATTCCCTCTAGCATATACCTGAGAAGTGGGTATGGGGCCTTTTCTGGATAGACCTCGAGGAACAGAGAACTCACTACTTCCTTCCTTGGGCAGCCCATTCAGAGCTGGGAGGGACCTTAGAGGCCATTCAGCCCAACCCCCTTCTTGCTACAGATGAGGAAACTGAGACCCAGGACATGCCCAAAGTCACACAGGTAGAAGTAGGCATCAAAGGTGGGATTTGGGTAGCAGAGCCTGGATTTGAACTGTAGGCCTCATTCATGGGTCTCCTGGGGGCTGCCCCTCCCTTACTCCTCACTGCCTCAGAGGATGACCCACTGCCTTCTTCTCCAGTCCTGCATGGTGGGTCTATCCCTTCATTTTTCACGCCTCACACTCAGAAAATGGATGTTGAAAAAAAGGAGTCCCACAACAACAACAGTAGAAATAATCGTTTGGTGTTATTATGAGTGGACTTTATTATTTTTTTTTAATTTTCAGAACACTTATTCATGACGGACCTGCATTTAGAGATAAAGTACCTCAGAAAAACCCTTCTCCCATGGCCGCTTTCCCACAGTCGGTGTGTTATGCTAATTCAGATAAAGAGTGGTCGCCTGACCAGAGGTAGGATGTTGCTTGGAATCTTTCTTGACCTTCCCCAGGGAGCCCATGAATCTCTGGGGCCTCAAGGCACAGGGGGATGGCAGCCACCCTTTCCTCTCAAGGTCTCCACCATTTTGAATCTTCCAAAGTGAATCTCTTTGGGCATTGACCAGACCGTTCCTGCTTCCATCCCTCTCCTTGTTGGAAGGAGTGGAGGTGCCCAACTTCTTCCTGGTGCTAAGGTCCCCCACTTCTTCCTAGAGCTAAAGTCCCCCACAAAGTCTGGGAAGAGTGAATGGGGAGATGAGATGAGCACCTCAGGGCCTTTAAGGAAGAAGTAAAGGAGATGGTGCTAAACAGAGGCCACCTTGCCATGGCTTCCATAGACGCCTGAGGCTCCCTCATTTATCATTTGCTAGGTATTCGGGGTTAAGTGACTTGCATAAGGTCACGCAGCTAGTAAGCTTCAAGCATCTGAGGCAGGCTTTGAATTCAGGTCCTCCTGGCTCCAGGGCCTGTTGCCCCCCACCCCCCTGTTGTACATGTGTTAGCTCACAAAAACTGTGATATGGGAGCTCTCCCAGCCCTATTTTACAGGAGAGGAAGCAGGCTCAGAGATGTCAAGTGAACAGGCCATTTAGGACTTGGTTTCCTCATAGTCTTTATCTCATCTAGTCCATCTTGTTCTCTAACAAAGAAGGAAACTGAGGCTAGAAGACAAAGTGGTTTGCCCCAGTATTCAGAGGTGGTCATTAGCAAAGGTGGGGCTTAAACTCTGGGCCCTGGCTCCCCAGCTGGTGTCCTTCCCGCCATGGTGCACTGCCTCCCTGATTTAAACCAGCCTTTCTCTACAAAAGTTCAGACTTAGTCTTCGTTGGCCTCATACGGATGGGCAGAAGTGTCCCCTCCAATGGCCTCTGGCTGCCACCGGGCCATCAGGGAGAGGCATGCCTGGTGTCTAGCCAGGTGGCTGCGAGTAAAAGCTGGTGATCCCGACAGGCCGCTCGTCCCTGATGGACCAGCCCCTGGTCTTTGCACATGGCTTTGAGAGCCCTTCTGCCCAGGTCTGGGAGAGAGCCCGAGGCCTGAAGTCAGGAGATTCCCGAGGTCAAATCTTGTCTTGCACTCTGGTGACCCTGTGTCTGCCCTGGTTTCCTCATCTGTAAAATGGAGATAATGCCAGCACCCACCTTCCTAGGGTGTTGTGAGGATACGGTGAGATAATGTTTGTAAAGCACTTTGTAAACCTTCAAGTGCTGTATAGATGGTCGGAGTAGTGGTAGTAGTTCTCGTTTCTGAAATGTTTCGAAGTCATTTCATTTTGGGGACTAGACCTTTTACTTCGTCCATGCTGGGAGCTCCCTCTAGTGACGAAGACAGCTCATGGTCTTTGAGAGCTGCCTGGGACACTGGGAGGTTCAGCTCCTGTCCTGGGGTCACATGGCCAGGGATGGGTCAGCGCTGCATGGGAATGGAATCCAGGTCTCGCTGGCTCAGAGGCTCTTCTCCATGCACTGAGCTTTCCTGCCTCTCATGGAAATGATTCCCAAGTTTAAGACATTTTCATGTCCTAGGATAATGACCATGTTTCATCAGGGAATCTAGAGCTAGAAGGGGGACCTTCTTTTTACAGAAGAGGAAACTGAGGCCCACATTGGCTAAGTGACTAGGCAGTGACACACATCGCCAGCATCACATCGGGGATTTGAACCCAGGTCCTCTTCATTCCAAACCCATTGTCCTTTCAACTATACCGTGCCTTAAAACTGCTTTTAAAGAAGATATTTTGAAAACTACATATCCTCCTCAATATGTCCTTCCCCTTTTCCACAAAAAGCTGGAGTACATGCAGCAGATTCTGTGGACTAGGCAGTAACCAAAGGGAGTTAGAAACGGAGGCTCAGTGTGTGGGGGCTCTTTCCCTGAGGTCCCCTTGATGCCTCTCCAGGGCGCAGGGGAGCCCTGGCTTCTGCTGGTGGTCACCTAGCATGAGAGGCTGTGAGCATAGCTCAGCAATAGAAAGGGTGCAGGTTCAGCTGCCATCACCAAAGGGTTGGCCACTGGTGGCACATTCATTTAAGAAAAGGTCCCCGAATTCTCAAGAAGCCACCCTTCTGGATGCATCGAGCGCCTCTGATTTGTATCAGTCTGGTGCCCGCAGGGACAAAAACCACAGACTCTCTGACTTGTCTGCTTTGGCCAATGGAGAGCATTCCCATTCCTGAAATCGTGCACTAGCTCTTTAAAGACAGGTCCACTGGCCACACCGAGCATGCCATTATCAGGGTGTGTTGCTTCCTTTCCTCCTTTTGTAGAGGAAGTCCTCAATGAAATGGACCCTCTGAGTGTGAAGTGAAGCTCAAGGGTAGTCCCTGTGGTTGATTTCATCACATCCCCCCTGCCCCCAGGGCCAGATGCCCAGAGAGCTTGATCTTCCTAAACACTGCTCTAGAAAACTCTCAGACCTAAGTAAGAAGTGTCGCTTCATTTCCATGACTATTGACATCACATACCTGCTCCTTGAGTCAGATGCCTTGGGGGCTTGACCCTCTTAGATGGTCTGCCCCTAGAGTAGGGGCTCCTAACCTTTTTTGACCTTTAGCCATCAAGTGAAGCCTATGGACTCCTTAGAATGGTGTCTTTAAATTCATAAAGCAAAATATATAGGATTACAAAAGGAGCGAATGATGTTGAAATAGTTAAAAACAAGTTCATGGGTCCAGGTTAAGAAGCCTTGCTCTAGAGCGTAGAGAATGAGCAGGTCACAAATAAGAGCTGTCGCTTCATCTCGGTGGCCGCAGACATCACATCCCGCCGTGGTTCAGATGCCTTGGTGGCTCGGTTTTCTTGAACGCTTCTCCCCTGCCCGGAGAGTGCCCGAATCATGAATTCGAGTTATAGTTTCATTTCAGTGACGCTTGACTTTGCTTTCTTTCTCCATATCTGGTGGGATCCAGTGAGCCGGTAGATTGCAAAAGGATGCCCCCTCGTCTCACAGTTGTCGCGGAAGGAGGCCTTTCTAGCTCCTGCCCTCCACCGTCCTCCCATTTCCAGTCTTCAGAAAGGTAAAGGGCATGCTTTCTCCAACTGGGGGCCTGGCTTGATAGGACAGAGGGACGGTGTGCAGATTTCTAATGCTGGGTCTAATTCTGTGTGTAACCTTGCTTAACTCCGTGTCCAGTTTTGGGACCTAACTTAATATAATAAATTAATGGCATGCAGATTTGGTCTACTTTTCTTTTTAGCTCAAACTGGTCTAATCAACTTACAAAGACACAGCTAACCAGCTCCCATTTTTATCTTAAGTAGTCTTAGACGATGTGGATTGCAGAGCCTAGTGTAGAGATACTGACTTCCATCTCATGGTCTGTCCTTTGTCAAGGCAGCCTTGTGAGGAAGATAGGGAGAGTATTATTATTCCCATTTCATAGAGGAGAAACTAAGGCCGGGAGGGTCCCGGAGTCACAGAATCGTGGAGTTGGCCAGCAGGAATCCCCCCCTCTCCACCCCCCACAAACACTCCCCTGCCCCAAGCTCATGCCACTTTGGGACGTGACAGCTCTGATGGACAGATGAATTTTGCCCACTTTATGCCCCTCCCACCCCGCTTGAGCCAGTAGGACAAGGGATGTCGAGTGACTTTCCTACAGTAACCCAGCTAGTGAGTGTCAGAGGCAAGATTCTAGCCCAGGCCCCCAGTCTCCGAATCCAGTGCTGGCTCTTCTCAGTTGGTTGATGTTCATTTATTAAGCACCTACTGTGTGCCAGGCACCATGCTAAGAGCTGGGCAAAAAGCTGTCCGTGCCCTCAGGGAGCTTCCAGTCCAATGCAGGCAACAACATGCCTGCAGCGTGGATGAGCTATTTAAAAGCAGAGATCAGGTGCTAGAATGAAGAGGCGTGGGGGAAGGCTTGCTTTTACAGCCCTCAGTCCCCCCACCCACCTTGGGGCCAGACTTGAGAAGCGAGGACTTTAGGCCAGATGTCCTGAGCAGTCACACCAAAGTGGGCTGCCCTGGGAGGCAGTGAGTTCCACGTCGCTGATGGGACGTCGGCCCAGTGCTGAGGGACTTCCTGTTTCCTGTTGGCACCTGTGAAGTCCCTTCCACCTCAGAGATTCTCTGACTCTGTGGACTTGACTGTCCTTGAGGAAACTCTGATTGTCCTAAAGTTTGTGGAGGAAAGATGCCATCTTCACTGGCTCTGCTGCTGTAGGTCCCAGGGATTGAGAGGAATTGGAACCTGGAACCTGGCAGTCAGTCCAGTGGTTTAGCAAAAAACAGGTGTTGATGAAATACTTAGGGGCACTCGGAGAGAGCGCTAGTCTCAAGTCTAGAAGAGCTGAGTTAGACTCTTACTAGCCATGTGACCCTTGGTTTCCCTGACCCTCAGTGTTCTCATCTGTAAAATAGGGATAGTAATAGCCCCTACTTCCCAGGGTGAGTTGAGAATCAAAGGAGATAATAATTATAAAGTGTTCTGTAAAACTTAAAGTTCTACATAAATATAAGCTATTATTATTGTTGTTACCAATTTCACAATTCCAAAAGAATTTAGTCAGTTTAATTAAAACTATCAAATTTTATCAAAATGACCAGCTTTTATTACATCATGTTATAATTTGGGCCTGCTCAGCTAAGGGTGTTTATGCCTTTCTGGGGCCTCCCTGGCTCGGATCTACTAGGGAGCCTGGAGGGAGTCTGGGTAGGTGCGGGTGCAGTCTGGGGGCATCCCTCAGAGTGGGCTCTCCTCCTTCCCTTCTGCTTCTTCCTCTTCGTTTCTCATGGGCATCCTTCGGTCCCCCCCTCACATTCACAGGGAGTGGGGGGCAGGGTGGAGCCTATGTTTGGCTACATACGTCTCCAGCCACTATAGAAATGGGGCCAGGCCTGGGACTGGGATTTTGTGAGGCCAGGGCAATACCACAGAACATGCCTAGGGCAGGTGGCATGAGGTAAACCCTCAGATGCAGTGGGCAGGGAGGGGCGGACAGAGAGATTTCTGGGCCAAAGCAGGGTGGGAGGGCTAGGGAAGGATGCCACTCCCTGGTTGCATCCTCCATTAAGGGCTCTCTCTAATTTGAAGCTAAGCTCTTCTTTCTATGCTGCTGGATTACTGGAAGTGCCGTTGGGGGCATCCTCTGAAGTAATCACCCCCCGAAGTTTGGTGCCCTGGACAAAGGCCTGAGCGTCCCACCCTAGTTATGACTCTGAATGTCGCCACGCTGACCAGGGAGGCAGTAGCCTGAGTGCATTTTCTGGGTGGTGGCAGGAAGGCTCTGGGCCAGACCAGCTGGTAGAAGACGCCTGGACCAGGCTCGTGCCTTTCTTTTGGCTGGCTGGTTTTTCATTGAGGCTTCATTTGTCCCTCGTCTTCTCCCCAGTCCTCCAGGTTCTCGCCCTGCAACGCCTCAGAGTGATTCAGAACTGGTCAGCAAGTCCCTGGAGAGGGGATTGCAGAAGAATAACCCGCAGATGCTGTGGCTGTGGGGAGAGCTGCCCCAGGCTGCCAAGGTGGGTCCTGGGGCATCCTCCGCGAGGGCCCGGATGGGGCACGGCGGTGGAGGGCTCGGCTTCCCGGCCCCCTCCCCCAGGGCAGAGGGCACCTGGGAGCAGTGACCTGCTCAGAGAGCATTGGGAGGGGTCCCAAATGGACCATGTTGTCCATGCTTGGGAAAGTGACTCCAAACTGAGCATGTGTGAGGAAGGCGCTGGCTCTGAGCTCCTCTCACATCCTGGGCTGTGACCTCCCAGTGAGCCTCTCATGCAACTGCTCCAGGCTTTTACAGATGGGGAAACTGAGGCTCAGAGAGAGGAGGGGAACTGCCTGGGCTCCCCCAGCCAGTAAGAGTCAGGTCTCTGGCCCTGTGCTCTCTGCCCCACTACATTGCCCTAGAAGATGATCGCAAAGGTCCGTTCTAGCTCAGAATCCCAGGAGTCTTCCCCCTTCAGTCTGAATCTGTGAGTAAACTTGCCATCTTAGTGCAGAGTGGCCGCTGAGCTGCAGGGTCCGAGGCAGGGCTTGAACTCAGTTTTTCCTGACTTCCAGGCTGGATGGTGTAGTAGATAGAGTACTGGGCCTGGAGTCATGAAGACCTGAGTTCAAATCCAACCTCAGACGCTCACTAGCTGTGTGACCCTGGGTCGGCCTCAGCTTCCTCACCTATAAAATGGGCACCTGCCTCCCAGGGCGGTCGTGAGCATTCGAGGAGATGATATTTGTAAAAAGTGCTTGGTGCATACAGCAGGCGCTTACTAAATGCTCGTTCCCGCCTCTCCTTGCAAGGACAGGCCTTCACTCGTGAAGCCGCCCTTTTTTTTCAAGCTTTTCCCAAGTTAGGAAAGGCTGTCTGGCCTTGAAGCCAGAGAGACCACGTGGGCTGTGTGACCTTGGAGAAGGCGCTCGCCTTCTCTGTGCTCTGGGCACCTCTCCAAGACCATAAGCTGCAGAGAGTGCTGACCTGTCCTGGTAGCATCCCTGCCCTTGTGTTGACATCTTACCAGATCTTGCCTCTTGAAACCACTACAGAGAAAGTAGAGCAGGGTCACAACTAGGGTGGGCCAACAGAGCTTGGTCCCAGGGCTCCAGAAATGGAGTGAGCACCCACAGCCTTCCAGCCCCTGAAGGAGCTGCTGAGTCTGCCATCTGGGGAACGAAAATAAGGCGTACAAACAGGAAGCTCCCAGACGGTGGGATTCTGAAGCTCCTTCCCAGCTGGGCTCAGTTCTTTGGCCTGAGTGAGTTTGTTGGGCCAAGGTTATTGTTGAAGTCGAATCTCATACCACCTACCCCCCAGCATAAAGGGGCTAATTACACTCTCTGCCATGGATAAGGAAGCAACCCATAAACATTTACCGAGCGCCTGCTGTGTGCCAGGTACTGTGCTAAGCTGAAGATACACCCCCCAAAAACAGCCCCTGCTCTCCAGGAGTCTGAAAGGGGGAGGTGCCATGTGGTCCGAAGACCTGTTTGCCTCTTTGCTTTGCCTCTTCTTCCCTGAGTGATGCTGGCCAGGGCCCTCTTCTGCCTGAGCCTCAGTTTCCCCATTTGCACCTTGGAGCTAAGAATCCTTGTCTTACAGACTCGGGGAGGGGGGAGGGTTCTCCTGAGGAAAGCCAGGCAGTCTGCAGTGCTCCTGGAGTGGCCTGTTAGTCATTCGTGACTGTAGACTACACAGGAATGTAGATGGTAGAGGACCCAAGAGGAAAATGAGACTGGGAGAGCCTTCACAGGTCAAGTCTGGCCCATTTGCTTTAGAAATGGGGAGACTGAGGCAAAGTGAGATGGAACGCGTAGACCTGGGCCGCCAGCTAGGAAGTGTGGGGGGTGGGATTTGAACCCACGGCCTCTTGGCTCCGGGTGACCTTTGCCCGTTTGTGGTAATGCACAATTTTACCCTCTCCTGGCCCATGTAGACCACATCTCTGCACAAGATGAAAGACTTAGCCAACAGGAGCTTTTCAGATAAGATGCTTTTCCGGGTTATCAAGAGTGAATCTTCAGAGACTTGTAGTGACCTCCCTCCCCTCGCCTTCGGGGGGCCACAGTGAGATCCTGATCCCGCCAGAGAAGGTCAAGGCTCTGCCTGAGGGGTCATTCACGGGGGAACAAAATCCGGAAGTCTTGGGCGCTACGGCCACTGTGGCCACCGCCACAGCTGCCACGTCCACCACCACTGCCGTGGCCGCCATAGCCACCACGTCCACGACGCCCACGGCAGCCATGGAAGCCACGGTCACGGCAGCCCCACTGCTGCCCACCATCGAGGAGTCCAAACAACCCCAGCCCAACTCCAGTCTCCAGGGGAATAAGATGGATTCTCCATCCAGGAAAAGAGGTGAGACATTGGCACCCACTACCACCTCCAGGGGAGACTGAGGCAGTGGGTGGACCGCGGGGTGGAGTAGGTGGGGTTAGATGACTCCCGTCACCTGCAAACCAGGTGAAGGATGGAGCATCTCCAATGGGTCCTGGGCCATTCTTGGGTAAGGAGCGGCGAGTGAATGGCTCCTCCTAGTGGTGGCAAGTGTCCTTGCCGTCCTTGACTGGCCTGGTGCACTGCCAGGTGCTAGCAATACCTTGATGATCCAGCCCAGGGGCTGCCCTCTATGGGCTTACAGTCCCATAGGGAGCTGAAAAGCTAAGCTCCCGGGGCCAAAAGAAGCTCAGGGAGGGGTCTGGAAGGAGAGAGGGTGTGGGAGGGCTTCCTGGAGGAGGCGCCCCTGAGCCAGGTGGAGATGGGCTGAGGGGCCGGAGAGGCCACGGTGCTGGATGGCGGAGGGGGCTGAAAAGTCTCTGGTTCTCTCTGACAATCAGTTTCTGCAGCTGGCAAATGGGTCAGATGGTCCCCTAAAGGGAAGTGGAGAGCAGGAAGGCCGTCTGGAGACAGAGAAGGGCCTCGCTGTCCCTTTTTCCTTTGGGGCCATGTCTGGATCCAGGCCAGAGCAGGCCTTTGCTGGTGTGTGCCCTGTGGTCCCTTGTGCCGCTTCCTGGATCTGGGGCGGAGGCTCAGTCGTTGGCCCGAGGGGCTGGCGGGGACAAGGGTATTGAAGACACACTTAGATCTAGCTTGGGAAAGGACCTTGGAGGTCATCAGGCCAACCCCCTCATTGTACAGCTGAGGAAACTAAGGCCCAGGGTAGGGAACGCGACTTGCCCACGGCCGCATGTCTTCAGCCGTGGAGGTGGGATTTGAACCTGGGTCTTCTGACTCCAGAACCACAGTCTGGTTGGGACTGGTCTTCTCCCAACTGCCTCCCATCAAATCCCTGTGTGTGGTCACTGTGGCCAATAATAATGGCTTTGTATGTGTTAACCAATTTGGCCTTGAGACAACTCTGGGAGTTGTTCTGCCCATTTTGCAGATGGGAAAATGGGAGAGGTCAGTTGACTTGTCCAGGGTCACACCCCAGGTGAGGCAGCCCCAGGGGCCTGAGATGACCTCTGAATCTATGGATCTTTGATCCCAAGAGCTTCTCCCGTATAAGGTGGCACTGTGCAAGGGCAGACCCCTAAGCTGTACTGGCCTCAGGGAGCTTACATTCTGTGGGGGGGCACGGCGCACTCCCAGATTGGTCCTTAGCCCCCGCCTTGCCCTGAAGACACCTGATGGGGGAGCTCCCTCCGTTCCGCTGTGGGGCCCCCCTGCTGGCTCCCCAGCCCTTCCACACCTACCTCGGCAGAGTCTAGCATCAGATCCGCGGTGTCTGGCGTGGCTCAGACAGCCCCTTCTCGGCGGGGCCCGGGACCTGCCAGCATGCCAGTGAACACCATCTTTTTACAGATGGGGAAACCGAGGCCCAGCGAGGGTGCATGGGGATCAGAGACCTAGAGGGACCTCAGAGGCTGAATCCCCCCCCCCCACTTTACAGAGAAAGAAACTGAGACTCAGAGGAGCTAAGGGACTCAGGAAGCCAGTGCAGCACAGGGTTGGCACGCTCTTGGACCACGAGCTAATGATGGGCTTTACGTTTTCAAATAAACCTTGATTGCGTTTTAAAATGTGACAGCTGGCGTTAGGTTAGGTCGCCCCGCAGAAGGGGGCTGCAGGCTGGATTTGACCCCTTAGACCGCGGCTTGCTGACCTCTGCTATAGAGGATAGAGGGCCGGCTTTGGACTCAGGGGGACCTGGATTCGAATTCTTTCTTAAAGTTTGCCTGTGTGACCTTGGGCAAGTCACCGGGCCTCAGTCTCCTGAGCTGTAAAATGAGGGGTGGGACTCCATGACCTCTCAGGGCCCTTCCAGCTCTGAAACCATGAGCCTAGGATGCTGTCCAGCATCCCGCAGGTTGTGCTGCCAGGGGAGAGACTTGAACCCAGAAGAAATGTTACTGGCAGTGTACGTGACCGCAGGATGTCAGGGTCAGAACGTGTCTCATGGGGAGGACTGGCGTTCGGTGCTCTGTAAGGTCCCTCCCGATTCGGCCATTCTATGGTTCTCAGGTTCTACATGTCGTAGTCAACACGCTCCTGCTATGAGGGGGGGACAGTGTTCAAACAGCTGTGTGAACAGGCCCAGAGAGGGAGAGTGTAGCAGGCATGGGGGACGGCCAGCAGCGGGAAAGCGGGGCCTGTGGTCAAGGAGCATTGAGAAAGCCACTGAGCCTTTGACCTTGTAGAAGGCCCTGCGGCCTCGTAGGAGCCCCCCCCCCGACCTCATAGGAGCCGGCCTGGCCTCATAGGAGCCGTTCTGACCTCGTAGGAGCCCCCTGGCCTCATAGGAGCCCCCCGACCTTGTAGGAGCCCACCCGGCCTTGTAGGAGCCCCCTGGCCTTGTAGGAGCCCCCCCAGCCTTGTAAGAGCCCTGCCCCCGACCTCATAGGAGCCGCCCTGGCCTCATAGGAGCCCTCCGACCTTGTAGGAGGCCCCCTGGCCTTGTGGGAACCCCCTAGCCTCAAACAAGCCCCCCAACCTTGAAGGAGCCCCCGCCTTCATGGGAGCCCCCCTGGCCTCATAGGAGCCCCCTGGCCTGGCATTTCCCTTGTGTTTTCAGACAAGAGGAGCAGGCACCTTGGAGCCGATGGCGTCTACCTGGACGACCTGCCTGATATGGACCCTGAGGTCGCTGCCCTTTATTTCCCCAAAAAGTAAGTTGGGACCTCAGGAGTTTTGTCCAGGCCAGGAGGCTCCAGGGGCTGAGGGTGGGGGGGAGGGGCTGGTGGATTTCTGGGTAGCAAGTGAAAACCCCCTGGCCCGGGAGTGCTCAGGTGAATCCTCTCTCCCACCCCCACTTTTTTTCTGCAACAGCATACAGAATTTAAAATTTAAAAAAGACATCACAGGATCATTGGCCTAGGTCTGCAGTGGACATCAGTGCTAAGTTCAAGCCCCTCATCTTAAAACTCAGGATGGTGAGACCCAGAGAGGTGATGGGGCATGCCCAGTGTCATACACATAACATGGAATCGATGCTGCTTTTAAGTTGCAAAGCCAGGATTTGAACCCAGACCCTCTGATTCACAGTTAAATACCCATTCTCCTGGAAAAACCTCGTGGAAAATAGTTCTGGATTTCAAATCTGTTTGGATTGTTGGTCTCCATTTTACAGATGGGGAGACTGAGGCTGTCTGAGACGCAGGACACGTCTGGGGATGGCAGCCTTAGAGTCCGGGAGCTAGGGGCGTAGGGTGTCCTCCCCCAGGGCAGTGATGCCTGTTTCTCTCCCGAGTCCCAGGCTCTGCAGGGGTGGACGCTGCTCACGGCTCCTCTCCACCTTTCTTGTCCCCCTTAGTGGTGACGGTGGTGGCGTGGCCAAAAGTAGCAGCGAGGGTGCCCCCCGCTCGGCCAGCCAGTCGCCTCAGTCGGTGGGCAGCTCGGGTGTGGACAGCGGTGTGGAGAGCACCTCAGACGGCCCCCGGGACCTGCCTTCCATAGCCATCTCACTCTGTGGGGGGCTCGGTGAGAGCAGAGAAATCACCACCGGTGAGCCTGCCATGGACCTGGGTGGGGCTGGGTCGTGAGTCGAGGGTGACCTCTGGTGGCTGCCGGCAGGACTGATGCTGACCGAGCTGGGTCTGCCCATCCTGGCTAGGTGTGCTGTGGAGGGGTCCCCAGGCACAGCCTCAGCAGCGGGGCCTCAAGGTGCTCCTGCCTAGGGGGAACACCCTGACCCCCAAATGGGGATGGGCTGCCCGAGGTGTTCAGGTCAGAGCCAGGGGCCGCTCTCAGGGTGTTGGGGGGGGGTCATTTTTCAGATAGAATGTTGCCATTGAGGTCCCTGATCGTTTTATCAGAGAGAGAGAGACAGACAGAGGGAGAGAAAGAGAAACAGAGAGAGAGAGAGAGAGAGAGAGAGAGAGAGAGAGAGAGAGAAGAGAGAGAAAGAGAGAGAGAGAGAGAGGAGAGAGAGAGAGAGAGAGAGAGACAGAGGGAAACAGAAACAGAGAGAGAGAGACAGGGAGAGAGAGAGAAAGAGAGGGAGAGAGAGAGAAAGACAGAGAGAGAAAAACAGAGAGAGACAGAGAGAGAGAAACAAAAGAGAGAGAAACAGAGAGAGAGACAGAGGGAGGGAGAGAGAAAGAGAGGGAGGGAGAGAGAGAGAGAGAGAAACAGAGAGAGAAACAGAGAGAGAGAGAGACAGAGGGAGGGAGAGAGAAAGAGAGGGAGGGAGAGAGAGAGAGAGAGAGAGAGAGAGAGAGAGAGAGAGAGAGAGAGAGAGAGAGAGAAACAGAGAAAGAGAGAGAGAAACAGACAGAGGGAGACAGGAAGAGAGTGAGAGAGAGATAGAGATAGAGAGTTAGAGAGAGACAGAGAGAGAGACAGAGAGAGAGAGAAACAGAGACAGGGAGACAGAGAGAAAGAGACAGACAGAGAGAGAGAGGGAGAGAGATACAGAGAGAAAAACAGACAGAGAGAAAGAGAGAAACAGAAGCACAGAGAGAGAGAAACAGAAACAGAGAGAGAGAGACAGAAGGAGACAGAGAGAGAGAGGGAGAGAGAGAGAAACAGAGACAGGGAGACAGAGAAAGAGACAGACAGAGAGAGAGAGGGAGAGAGAGAGAAAGAGAGGGAGAGAGAGAGAAACAGAGACAGGGAGACAGAGAAAGAGACAGACAGAGAGAGAGAGAGGGAGAGAGACAGAGAGAAAGACAGAGAGAGAAAGAGAGAAACAGAGAGAGAGAAACAGAAACAGAGAGAGAGAGAAACAGAAACAGAGAGACAGAAGGAGACAGAGAGACAGAGACAGAGAAACAGAGAGAGACAGAGAGACAGAGACAGAGAGAGAGAAACAGAAACAGAGAGAGACAGAGGGAGACAGAGAGAGACAGGGAGACAAAGAGACAGACAGAGAGAGAGAGAGAGAAACAGAGAAACAGAGAGAGAGACAGAAGGAGACAGAGAGAGGGAGAGAGAGAAAAACAGACAGAGAGAAACAGAGACAGAGAGAGAAACAGAGAAGCAGAGAGAGAGAGAAACAGAGAGACAGAGGGAGACAGAGGAAGAGAGTGAGAGAGAGATAGAGACAGAGTTAGAGAGAGAGAAACAGAGAGACAGAGAGAAACACAGAGAGAGAGAGAAACAGAGACAGGGAGACAGAGAGAAAGAGATAGAGAGAGAGAGGGAGAGAGATACAGAGAGAAAAACAGAGAGAGAGAGAGAGAAACAGAGAGAGAGAAACAGAAGCACAGAGAGAGAGAAACAGAAACAGAGAGAGAGACAGAAGGAGACAGAGAGAGAGACAGAGAGAGACAGAGGGAGAGAGAGAGAAAGAGAGGGAGAGAGAGAAACAGAGACAGGGAGACAGAGAAAGAGACAGACAGAGAGAGAGAGGGAGAGGGAGAGAGAGACAGAGAGAAAAACAGGCAGAGAGAGAAAGAGAGAAACAGAGAGAGAGAGAAACAGAAACAGAGAGAAACAGAAAGAGAGAGAGAGACAGAAGGAGACAGAGAGAGACAGAGACAGAGACAGAGAGAGATCGAGGGGGGCAGAGAGAGAAACAGAGAGAGAGAGACAGAGAGACAGAGACGGAGAAACAGAGAAGCAGAGAGAGAGATCGAGAGGGGGGCAGAGAGAGAAACAGAGAGAGAGGAGTGGGCGAGTGTGCTCTCCCTGTGCACGGTTGGATGCTGATGCCGGGTCTGAGCCACAGCTGGGAACGACCTTGGAGATCACCCCGTGCCGTCCGATGATGCAGAGGCTTGGTTCTGGGTTCGTATGCCGGTTGCTGCTGTTACTTCCTCACTGTGTGACTGTGACCAAGTTAGTTCATCTCTCTGTGCCTCAGTTTCTCTGCCTCTATAAAGTGAGATTGGGACCGAACTGTCTCTTTAAAGTAGCCAAGTCTAGTGTGCAGAGCACTGACCCTGGTCCCTGAGGAGGCGGGTTCAGATCCTGCCTCTGGGCCTCGTCTCTGAAAGGAGGGGGTGGGTTCGGTGACCTCCGAGTCCCCTCCAGGGCTCAATCTGGTGACCCCGTTTGCGGCATCTCCACCCCCTCACTGTGCCAGGTCGCTTTTCTGTGATGTTCGAAGGCTGTCAAAGGATGTTCTTCTTCCCCAGGGACCAGGAGCGAGGCGGGCTGCCTCCGGTCTTTAGTCCCCATTTCCGAGATAGTAATAACAGCTGACTCCAGATGGCCTCCTTTTGTGGCGGGTGCTGGGCGAAGCGCTCCATGGCAGCCTGGGGGGAGGTGCTGGGATTATCCCCATTTTACAGGTGAGGAAACTGAGGCAAACAGAGGCAAACTGACCCGCCCCCGGTCACACAGCTGCTCCCTCCCATCGAGCCAGTGAGAAGCAGAGCTAGGATTTGAACCTGGGACTTTTCCCCCATAACCCCACACTCTGTAGCGAGGGGGACAGTTGCGCGCCGGTCGGGGTAACTGGGTGAGTAACGTGGCCTTTCCTTGCCTTTCCTTCTTCCCCATGCCACCGTGGCGGCTGCCGCAGATGAGTTTTTAGAGCAGGAGGTGTCCTACCAGCAGTTTGTGGACAACCCGGCGATCATCGATGACCCCAACTTGGTGGTGAAGATCGGTAACAAGTGAGCACCCTCCCTGTCCCTGTCCCCAGCTGAGCCCGGGCGCTCACAGAGCGCGTCTCTGTGCATGTGTGTGCTCACACTCACACGCGGGTGAGGTGGCCCGTAGGCAGGGAGCCAGCCTGGGAGCTGGGAGGAGCCGGGTGCCAACCTCGCCTCTGACCTGTGATCATTCTGGACGGCTCCCTGAGACTGAGGGGTAGAGGAGGCAGATGCCCAGAACTCCCTCCACACAGTTGGGTTTTACGTCCATAGCCCACTTCCTCTGTTGGGCAGGGTTCCCAGGGTGGGCCAGCCTTCTGTCAGTGCAGATTGCAGCCCTTCTGTGGCCCGGGAGATGCTGGAGGCTCTGAGGGATGTCACAGCTGTCTCACAGTGGGCAGGCTGGGTCCCCCCTCTTGGAGGGTCACAACCGCTCAGGTCTGGCCTGGACAGCGCCTCTCAGATTCGGGGTGACCTTCCCAGGTCACGCAGCTAGGGACTGTTGGACTCTGAGGCCCTCCAGGGCAGGGAGCGCCTCATCTGTGGTCTTGTTATCCCAGCCCAAGGAATGGCACATAGTAGGTGCTCTCTGCCCTCTGCCTGATGGCCTCAGATACAGATGTGAGTGTCCGGAACGGCCCACGCTGACGGTGGCTGCGCTCCCTCAGCCTGGGCAGAATGCCGGGGCTACAGAGACAGCACCCCCTGTGAGAGCTGACGCTGGGCAAGGGACCCCCCAGCCCTGGCCCTCCTGGGGAGCTCCTTCCTCTCTGGGGCAGCTGTGCAGGCTAGGAAGGAGGCTCTTTAGGGATCAAACCTCAGTGTATTTTTTGGCTGCTTCTGTCCCTTGTTCAGAATGTCATTGGACACCCCTATTACCGCTCCCCTCTGAAGTGACCTTGAGGGAGTCTGCGGTCCTGTCCAAGGTCACATGGACAGGGCTGAAGCAGCTTCAGTCAGTCATTCAGCAAGGCTGGGTGAAGCACTTGCCTCTGCAAGTGCTTCATGTGAGCCCCAGCCAGGGCCACACTCCATCAATTAAACAGTGAGCATTTGTGAAGCACCTACTGTGTGCTCGGAGGGAAGGATTTATTAAGCACCTCCTGTGTACCAGGTACAATACTAACCGTTACTGAGAACAGGAAGAGAGACAGTCTCATCTCCATGGATCCCCTCCACTCCCATCCTTTCCCCCCCTCCCCTCTTCCCCCTCCCTTTTCCTCCCCACCCCTCCCCTCCTCTCTCCTCCCCTCTTTTCCCCTCCCCTCCTCTCCCCTCCCCACACTTCCCTCTCCTCTTCTCCCCTTCTCCTCCTCCCCTCCCCTCCCCCTCTCCAGGGTAAATGAGGGGCAATCTCAAGGGTAAGACAGGAGCATGAGGGGGGTGAGTGAGGCCCCCACCCACCAGCCAGGGGAGGGGTGTTGGGCCCCTGGCATTTAGGGGTCTCGCTGCAGCCTGTTTTCTCTGCCTCAGATACTACAATTGGACCACAGCAGCTCCCCTCCTTCTGGCCATGCAGGCCTTCCAGAAACCTTTGCCAAAGGTGAGCTTTAACATGGAACAAGCCGGGCTGGGGGTGGGGGCTACGGGGGTCTCCAGAGCTTCTCTCCTGAGTCACACACAGGCTTTTGGTTTGTTTCCCCCAAAGCCTCCAGCCTTTCCTCCCTGGTGCCCCAGGGTGCAAGAGGACTGTTTGGGGATTTGGGGGCACCCCCTGCTTCCACCCGTTCACCCCGTCATTCAGTGGCTCCTGGACAATCAGGGAGCACAGCCACCCCAGAGGGAGAGCCGTCCCTGCCCTTGGGGAGTTTCTGTTTTTTGGGGGAAGAGGGCTTACCACATGGACGTGATTCAACAGAAAGTCCCCTGCTTGGCTCTCAAAGCCCTTCACAAGCACCTGGCTGACCTCTCTTTCCAGCCTCAGTGGATGCTGTTCTCCATCCCTTCCTTCACCTTTCTGTCTCTTCCCCATGCATGACACTAATGTCCTGCCATCATGCCTTTGCCTGGAGCGCTGATGGGAAGCCCTTAATGATCATGACCCACCCCCACTGCCTGCCCCCCCCCCCAGCTGCCGGGGCTTCTCTCTCCAAAATGACCTTGTATTTATATATATGTACAGCTGTGGTTGTAGTTTGTCCCAGCAGAATGCCAGGCGCGGGACAGCTAGGTGGTGCAGTGGATAGAGCACCAGCCCTGGATTCAGGAGGACCTGAGTTCAAATGTGGCCTCAGACACATAACACTTACTAGCTGTGTGACCCTGGGCAAGTCACTTAACCCCATTGCCTAGCCAAAAAAAAAAAAAAAGCAAAAGAATGTAAGGCACTATTTCTTCCTGTATATTCTGAGAGTTAGCACTGTGTCTGGCACACAGTAGGTGCTTAATTTGATAACACAGTTATCAAATTTATTTTGGCACACAGTTGATAGATTGGGAAAATAAATTGTTATGACATGAGGAGGGAGAGGGTAGAAACAACTAAGAAGATTGGGAAGGCTTACTATAGGGCCTAGCAAGTGAGCAGAATCTTCACTTTAATCCAACAAGCATTTGTCAGGCACCCCCTGTGTACCAGGCAGAGTGCTAGGTATTGGGGAGACAAAGGCAAAAATAAAAACCACCCTTGCCCTCAAGGTGCTTGCATCTTATGATGGTGACAGCATATACCACATACAGCCAAAGGAAATACACAATCACTTCGGAGGGAGCTGGTAGCAGTGCGGGGAGGGGATCAGAAATCACAGGTAGGGCCAAAAGAAATCCTGTTTGGTCTCTCTCTTTCTCTGCCTCTGTGTGTCAGCCTCTCCCCCACACCCTTCAGTTTCTCTCTTCTTCTTTCTCACTCTCCCTATTCTGTTTCTTTCCCTCTGCTATGTCTGCTGTCTCTCTCCTTCTTCTTCTCTCTCTCTCTCTCTCTTCTTCTTCTTCTTCTTCTTCTTCTTCTTTCTTCTTCTTCTTCTTCTTCTCTTCTCTCTTTCTTCTTTCTCTTCTCTCTCCTCTCTTTTTCTTCTTCTCTTTCTTTTTCTTCTTCCTCTCTCCCTCTCCTTCTCCCTCTCTCTTCTCTCTTTTTTCTTCTCTTCTCTCTCCTCTCTTTTTCTTCTTCCCGTCTCTCTCTCTCTCTCTCTCTCTCATCTTTCTCCTCTCTCTCATCTCTGTCTCTTTTCTCTCTGTCTCTCATATTTCTCCTCACTTGCGTGTGAAGCTAACATTTCCCTCCTGCATTGGTCACCAGAACCCTAGAGATTTAAAGAATACTTACTGGGTAGAGGGAATGTCCGTCAGGTATTTTTTATAAAGAGATATTTGGTTGTTAGAAAGGAATTAGGAAATCATGGATGAATATTTAGTCATGTATTAAACATTAATTCCCATCAGGATAAACACCTCTCTTGTTTGCCTGTTGGGATCATTCTCTTTGTTCCCTGCTGACTTAGATGCTGCCCCTTCCCTGTTCCCCTCAGCTGGTGTCCTCTTCCTCAGTTTCTCTTGCTTCTCTTTTTGCCATACTATGTCACTCCCGCATGGATTGTAGTCATTTCTGGTTCTTACTTAAGTCTATCACCTGCCTGCTGGATTGTAAGCTCCTTGAGGACAGGGCCAGGTTTTCTTTTTTGTCTTTCTCCAGGGCCATAATACCAGGAATAACAGGTTCTCACTAAATCTTTCTAGTTTAATTAAACTGAGTTGAGTATAACATGTAATGTTAAAATTGAATGTCTCCTTGTTTCAGATTCAAAATTAAAATGAGCAGTTTTGTTAGGAAAAGAACAAATACTATCCATGCATCTTAGTGTCATTTGAAACAATTTCCTTCCTATACCTCCTGCTCAATTCCTCTGAATCTCATTTTGTCCAAAGTCTTTTTGAGAAGAACATTTGCAGTCAAAAGAGCCTCCTCCACTGTGGGGCCTGAGGGTGGAGATTCTGGTCCCTGCTCTGCTCTCACACTAATTAGTGTGAAGTTTTGGGCACTTACTTGGCTTTCCTTCGTGGGACCTTGGTTTTCCTCCTCTACACTGGGCTAGTGATGCTTTTACTGACTAGCCTACCCAATTGTTGCAAGCAGGTGGTTTATCCTGAAAACATTTAACCGTTCATTAATATGCTGCCTCGTCTACTAATTGCTGGTGGTTTCTAATATTTTCTTTATTGGTCTTTTCCCTTTTTTGTTTCCTTTTTTTTTTGTTCCTTCCTTTAACATTTTCTTAAGTATTCATGCTTAAGCTACCTTCATATAATTCTGGACACCATTAAGCTTTGCTTTTCTAAGATTTACAGCCCCCAGCCTGTACGTCCTGCTTCCTTTGGTTTCCATCATGTCACCTGTATGTTTTTTCGGTTTGCATGGAATGCTCTGTCCTTCCTTTTTGGTTCTGTTATTTATGTTCCATCCATTTGCAACAGGCCACGGTGGAGTCCATCGTGAGGGACAAGATGCCCCGGAAGGGAGGACGATGGTGGTTCTCATGGAGGGGACGGAACACAGTTAAAGAGGTAAGCAAGCCTGGAAAATCTGCAGCTGGCTCCCAGGTGAGGGGACTTTGGACCTCTGTCCCCAGGCTGTTGCCTTTGGCAGAGTGTGTTTGATCAAAAATAACCCCCCTTAGAAGGGATCTTAAATGTCTTCAAGTCCAATCCCTTATTTTACAGATTGGGAAGCTGAGGCCCAGAGAGAGGAATCAAGTCACTTTTCTAGGGTCAGATGGCTTGTAGATATCTGAAATAGAATTTGCACCAGGGTCCTTTATCTGAGGCACTGGTGAAAAATATTCAACAGCACAGGGGAAAAAGACAGATCTTTGTGGCGTTCTATTAGAGACTTCCTTCTGTGCTGACAGTGCCTCATTGATGATTTCTTACTGTAGATGGTCATTCATTCGTTTTGGGCTTGCTCACATCTGCCTCTCTTTGTCTCTTACTGCTCTCTCTAGTCAATCAGTCAATTAATAAACATTTACTAAGTGCCTGCTATGTGCCAGGCACCATGCTAAGTGCACTGTCACTCTGTCTTTTTCTCTCTGTCTCTCTCCACCCCCATAAGGATGGGAGAAACTTTCTCCAATGTTTTGCTGAAAATCCAGAGCTTGGGCATCCCTGGCATAGCCTCGGAGTGTCCAGAGCCAGCTGGAGCCTATGAAGGGTCTTCAGAAGACAGCCAAGAACAATAATTTCTCCCCCATTAGACTGTGAGCTCCTTGAGGGCAGGGACTGTCTTTTGCCTCTTTTTGTATCTCTAGCACTCAGCATGGTGCCTGGCACATAGTAGGTGCTTAATAAATGTTTATTGATTGACTAACTGAATAATTTCCATTTCTTTATGGTCCAGAGTTTGCAAAAGGGGTTTCTTTCCTTCCTGTGAGGTAGGCAGTGAAATGCACTTTGGTGTGATCTTCTGGTCCAGCCCCGCTTACAGTATCCTAGGCAAGTCGTCATAAAGCTTTTGCTTGAAGACCTCTAGAGACAGGGTGCTCACTAGCTTTCACTCACTCAACAACATTTATTGAGCACTTGGCATATACAAGGCACCGTGTTGGTCACTGGGAATCTAATAATAGTGCTTCTGCCCCCTGTGGATTGCGTTCTACTGGTAGGGAATCCACCATGTATACATATATAAATAAATAAAGGTAGTTTCAGGGAGGAGAGAGCCTTGCGAAGGAGGGGGGATCAGGAAAGGCTGGCTTTGGGAGTGAACATCAGAGCTGAGCCCAAAAAAATGCTAAGAAGTGGAGGTGACGAGAAAAGTTTTCTGCATTCAGGGCAGCTCATTCCAGAGCCCGGGGTGAGAACATGATGGGGAGAAATACGTCCGGAGAGGTCAGTGGGAGGCAGGTTTTCCAGGACGGACAGTAGGACAGACCTCTGAAGGGTTTTGAGCAGCGGGATCACAAGAAAGCTTCTCGTGACAGGTGGGTAAGAGGGGATGGAATGGGGAGAGGCCAGGAGCCGGCAGACTTCTTAGGAGGCTGAGAAGTAATCCAGGCGAGAGGTGATAGGCTGCAGGCTTGAAGTAGGGAGGAGACTGGGAGAGGTGAGAAAAGGACCTGTTTGAGAGATGGCATAAATGGAAGACTTGGCAGAGAGAAGAGATGGATTTGGGGGGGGGGAATTCAGTGACTTTGTGGGATGCCAATGCTTCGAGCTAAAGAGATGGATGGGGATCCCACAGTGGAGGCATAGGAGACATAGGCGGAGAACCAGGAGAAGCAGCATCTGGGAGCCAAGGGAAGAGAGTGTCCAAGAAGAGGGCCTGGCCAACACCGTCACAAGCTCCAGGGTGGCCGGGGAGGGCGAGGACCCAGAAGAGGGCACTGGCATGAGCCATGTGGGGATTGCTGCTAATCTGCGGAGAGCATTTGCAGTCAAGCCATGGCATCCCAAGTGAGTGGGAGGTGAGGGCACAGAGGCCTCGCCTAATGGGGGCCCTTTTCTTGGTGCAAGGAGCTGATGACTTGAGTGTGAGAAGGGATGTTTGTGGTGTCTGTGAGCACCCAGTTGGCTCAAAAGGAGAGTGGGCTGGTCCTGTAGTGAGCTTGAGAGGAAACAGATGCCCCAGTGTCCACCCACTACTTCAAGTCTCTGGCAGAGGCCTCCAGGATCCTCCCTTGAGGGTTTACAGAGAGAAAAGGGCAAGACCTATGCAAAGACAAAGGTATGAAAGGGCTGCAGTCTTCACTGGTGGGTATATGGGATCCACTGAAGGGTTATGTGTGCCACTTCCTATGACCTTTGCAAAGGAAGGAAGGAAGGAAGGAAGGAAAGATTTATTAATCACCTGCTATGTGCCAAGCACTATGCTCAATGCTACTTTTTCATTTGATCCTTACAATAAATAATAATAATGATGAAAACTGACATTTTTATAACACTTTACTATGTTCCAGGCACTGTGCTGAGTGCTTTGCAATTATTATCTTGTTTAATCCTCACAACAGGCCTGGGGAGGTAGCTGCTGTTATTATCACCATTTTACAGATGAGGAAACTGAGGCAAACAGCTGAAGTGACTTGCCCAGGGTTGCACAGCTAGTAAGTGTCTGAGGCTGGATTTGAATGCAGATCTTCCTGATTCCAGGCCTAGTGCTCTATCTACTGTGCCACCCGGCTGCTCATGTAGACAGGTTAGAATCTACTGCAAGTCACTTAATCTCTTTTGGGTAGACCTCATTTTCTTCATCTGTGAAATGAGGGGACTGGACCCAGTAACCTTGAATCTCTTGTCTAGTTTTAGATCTATGGCCCTAAGATTCTTTGGCCATTCCTGTGATACTTTCGTGGGGGTGTCGGAATAGGCAGAATCTCTTTAAAAAAGATAATTTTTCATTGGTGTCTTTTGTTTTGAAATCCCCTTGATTTCACCTGTGTGTCCCTCTCCCCTCAGAATAAAACTGGAGGGGCAGTTTTCTTGCAGCATGGATTAGGTTCCTCACACGTCATGGTGTTTTTATGGAAGGTTCACCTGTCCTTTATCTTCTCTTGTATAGACCAGCTCCCCTTTGGTCTAATGCAGTTTCACTCTTGTTTGTCACCCTTCTTCTAGGAAAGCAAGCCAGAGCAATGCTTGTCTGGAAAGGGTCTCATTATGGGGGAGCAGCCATCCAAGCTAAACATTGGAAGCAGGTATGACCTGAACTAACTTGGGATAGAGGTTAGGTTAGACCTTACCCAGCTTCAACATTAATGACAGTGGCCCTTTTCAGTGAGCTGATTTCACCCCTAATGATAAGGGACCAACTATTCTTCTGTCCATCACAGAAGCATCACACAGTTGTACATTTTCCTCTTGCCACTTAGTAGTCATATGATTTTGAACAATTTTTCTCCTTTTTGGGGCACCATTTTCTTTAACTGTGGAGTGAATATAATAACATTTGCCTCTCTGTCTCAGAGTTGATATTGATGCATTCATTCATTCATTCATCCATTCACTCCACATATCTATTTAACACCTGCTGTGTGTAGAGCCCTGTGCTTAGCCCTGGGTGCAGTGGGGTTGGGGTTGGGGTTGATGACCAATCTGTGAGACTTGGTCTATGAGACTGGTGGCGGGTGTGGCATAGGTACAGGGGACTATAACAACAACATTAACAATAGCTAACATTTCTATAGCATTTACTATGTGCCAGGCACAGTGCTAAGTGCTTTACAGAATAACTTTGGCAGGTAGGTGCTATTATTATCTCCATTTTACTGATGAGAAAACTGAGGCAGACAAAGGTTAAGTGACTTGTCCAGGGTTACACAGCTAATGTCAGAGACCAGATTTGAACTCAGGTCTTCCTGACTTCAGGCCTGGCACTCTATCCAGTATGCCACTTAGCTATAAGACACACTATTATTTGATGAGTGCACTTGAAAGTTCTATGTAAGAGCCAAAGAGGAATCACAGGCTTCCTGGAGGTGGGGGTAGGGATGGTATGTTTGAGTTGAGCTGTAAAGAATGTCAGGAATTTAATTGGTAAAGAGGGTTGGGGAGGCCATTGCCAGGGCAAGGAATAGAATGATTACAGGCACAGAGATGGGGGTACCCAGCCAGGAATCATCCAGTCTGCCTGGGGTATAAAGAGAGAAAGGAAATAGAGAAGGAAGATGGCGCCAAAGAAGAGGGCCTTGAGTGCCAAGCAAGGGAATGTGAGCTTGACTTGGTAGGCCACAAGGAGCCCTTGAAGAATTGCAAGCAGATCTCTCTATAAAGATGATTATTCTGGGAGGATTGGGAAGGAGAGAGGAGGAAGCCTCGTAGGGTGCTCTCAGAGCAATCAGGTTGGGTGGTGATGCCTGTTCGTATTGGGGCAGGCATGGTGGGAATAGTTAGGGAGACAGATGTGGGGATACCAGTAATGAAAATAACTTGTTTTTCTATAGCCCTTTATACATATGACCTCGTCTTAATTAAATTCAGTAAACCTTTATTAAGCACCTACTATGTGCTGAGCCCTGGGGGATACAAAGAGAAAAAAATGGAACAATCCCTGGCCTCCAGCTCTATGGGGGAGGTGGGGCAGGAATCAATCAGTCAATCCACAAACATGTTTTAATCCCCCCTGTGCCAACAATTGTAAGCCTAAGGAGACGGCCTGTCCGATGAGCTTACATTCTGCTGGTGGGGAGTCAACAGAAGGGTCTGCAGATAAATAAATGTAGTACACACACACAAACACACGTGTGTGTGTATATAAATTATATATACAGATATACACACACACAATAAATGCGAAGGTTGTTTTTGCGTGGGTGGGGCAGTAAAGGTCCATAAAGGCCTCAGGTAGGATGTGGCCTTTGTACTGCACCTTGAAAGGAGCTGGGGGTTACAAGAAACAGGTGAGTAAGGAGGACGTTCCAGTCTGTACAAAGGTCCAGCAGTGGGAGATGAGGAGCGTGATGCATGGCAGATTTCTGGGCTCAGTGGATCTTCAGAATAACCTTGTGTGAGGTGGGTGCTGTCATTGTCACCACTTTGCGGAGGAGGAAGCTGAGATTTGGAGAAGTCACACGGGTAGAAAGTGTCTGAGATAGGTTGCAAACACAGCTCTTTCTACCTCCGGATCCAGCCCTGTCCACTTTGTAGGGAGTACAATCACCAGAACTTGGTAACTGAGTGGCTCCAAGAGAGGGCAGAAAAGCCTGAAGAATAGGTTTGCTCCAAGTTGGAGGAGAAGGTCGTGTGTGTGTTTTGATCCTGCCTATCAATATTGGTGTCTTTGGCCACTGTGGTTCATTGATATGGGTCGGATGTGAGGATAACGCAGCCTGAAGATGATGAGGAGTCCCTTCCATGTTAAAAGATGGCAGGAGGAAGACGTGTAGTGAGAAGAGAAGGCCTTGACAGTCTGTGAGAGCAGTCTCCACCTGTTTGAATCGACTCTTGTCATCTGGAAGAGGCGTGACCTCCTTGGCCTCTGAGGGTGAAAAGTTACAGACGCAAAGTCTGGCTTCATGTCGGGAGAACCTGGCAGGAGTGGTGCAGGCAACCGTGGGAGTGGCACGAGTGGCCTTGGGAGTGGCTGCTTGTGCAGGACGCCCTCGTGGGGGTTCTGGGTCCAGGACAGGTCTCTGTCTGCCGTTTGGGGTCATCCGGGCAACCGGTCTTCTCCGCAAAGCGGAGAGAATTTGGAATTGATGCTATTTGGAAAACGCGTTAAGAGTCATGGTTTGTTCATCAAAGGGGCAGGGGGAGGGGGGCACTTAAGAGCTTTGTACTCAATGCAGCTGCTGCTGGCTCCTCGTCTCCTGCAGAAATGACAGGTTCCTGTAGCAGATTAAAAGAGGTGTTGGAGGCTTTCCCCGATTGCCTGGCTCGACTGACAGAACGCCCCCTGAAGTCCTGTAATTGAGCAAACAGCTCATCACCATCCAAATAAATTAAAATGCCATTTAAATGTGTACTGTGACAAGTTCAAACTTAGCTACTGTCAGGCGGAGAGTCTGAGACCAGAGATTTCCACACAGCAGGATTCTTCCTGAGGGCCGTGCCTGCTCGGTATACAGTAGGTGCTTAATGAATGCTTGTCGATCTATTGGTTGATCTTTAGGGGGTCTTGTGTCTAGAAGGCCTCTCAGAGGGCTTCTGGTCCAACTCTTCCCTGGCCAATGATACAGTTCAGTCCAGTAAACATTTGTTAATCACCTCTTGTGTGCACAACACCATGCACAACACCTAGATGTTGGGAAAGCTGCCAGGTTTATAGTAAGTGCTTCCTTCATGGAGCAAGGGCACAGACTCAGCTACTGTGATCCTACAAAACATGGGGTCATGGCTATGCTGGCAAGTGACCTCAGATGTCATCTGATCCAATTGAGGCCCAGAGAGGGGTAGTGGCTTTCCTAAAGTCACACAGCTGGGAAGAGGTCGAGCTGGGACTTGATCCAGGGGGACTGGGAAGGGACTTTCCAGAGTCACCCAGACCAACTCCCTCTTGTAGAGTTGAAGAGATTGTGGGCTTGAGGGGGAATGTGAGGTGGCTGAAGGATATGGAAGAGGCCAGGATTTGAACCTGGGTCCTCAGACTCCCAAGGCCCTGCGTGCCTGGGCCATGTGGCTTCTGCCTTAGCCGACGGCCGGCTGCACATCACCGCTTGTCAGCCTCCGTGTCTGTGTTTTCCCTCGCCCGGTTCTGTCGCAGACATGGCATCACGGGGCCTCGCCTCAAAAAACAGGAATGCAGGAGAACAGATGGCCGGAGCAGACGGCTTGCTCTGGCGTCCCAGGAGAGAGGCACCCATCCACCTGCCGCCAGCACCCCTCTCTGTCTGGCTTCCAAATGTTCCACCAGAACATCAGCTCCTGCTGCTGGATGAGGCCGAAGCGAGGCCTCCTGACTGGCCCATCCACTTGGCCATCGATGCTCTGTGGGACCGAGTGTCCCCTCAGATTGGAGCTAGGCTCTTGGACTGTTTCAGGCCTAGAGGGTCGTCCTCAGGGTTCATCCGTGCATTGACGTCGGGTACCGCTCAGTCTGCTCTGCACAGGGGAGACCATGTCACAGCCCCTGCCCTCCAGCAGCCGACATTCTACTGGGGAGATAGGCCAGTGCAAAGAAGAGGAATGAGCGGGCCCGTGGTGGGCTGGGCTGCCTTGGGAGGCCCGAGCTCCCTGTCCCTGGAGGGCGATCCCCTCGTGGGGGGTGCCATGGCGGGGAGGCTTGTCCAAGTCTGGGTTGGCCCCGATGGTCCCCGACGTCCCGTCCGCTCTGGCACTCGGTGCTGCATTGGGGTTTGTGGGGGAGAATGCTCGGGACGAGCCGCCTGGGTTCACATCCTGCTGCTTCCGTTTCCTAGCTGTGTGACCCTGGACAGATCCCTTCTCTCAGCCTCAGTGTTCTCATTTGTAAACTGTTTGAAAAAGTCTGTAAAGAAATAATAGCGCCTGCCTCTCAGAGCCGTAAGAATTCAGTGAAGCCCTCTGCAGACTTGAAGACCTGGATGTTAGCTGACCATGTCCTGTTGTTGGGCTTGAAGTGCACTAAGCCTGCAGGCTCTTCTGTAGATAGATTTCTGTCCTGTCTTGTACTTGTGAAGGTGGCTTGTTCGATCCAAGTGGGACAATTAGCGTCTATCCCCATTCATGTCCCTCTTATTGGCTTCAGCCCAAATGCCTTTGAAACCTTTGTGACCCTCTGACTGCCTCAGTTTTCTCATCTGTAAAATGGGGATAACAGCACCCCTGCCTCTCAGGGTGTGACCAAGGTGAAATACGTCGAGTGCTTGGGAAGCCTTAGCGTGCGGTATCAGTGTTGGCACATGTGTGCTGTAGCCACTGCTACTGTCGACTGACCAAGGCAGAACTTGAATGCGGGTCTTGTGGGCCCCCAGCCTGGCCCTGCCTTCCTCCCCTAGACACTCATCCTGTGCAGGGGCGCAGCTGCTTCAGAGGCCTCAGGGCCCCTTCTAGCCCTGACTTTCCACAGTTCTGGCTCTGGGAGGCCCAGAAAGCACTGGCCTGCCCTGGGTGGGGGGCTGGTCTTAATGACCTCTGGAGTCCCCAGGGCTTTCCATTCATTATTTAACTTTAGCACCCTCCCTGTCAGAGCCGTCCTGTCCCCTGGCTTGTTACAGGATTCTCTCAGCTTGAAAGGCATTGATGGGGGCAGTGAAGGTGGTCCTCCCCCTCCCCACTCTCACTCCCCTGGCCCACGAGTTATGCAGTGTTCTCTGGGAGCTCACCCCAAGGCCCTGCATAGCGGAGGCCTCCCGCTCCCGCCATCATGGGTGTCCGTGCCCCTCCAGGATGAAGGATGAGTCGTCCTCCAGCGACGAGGACTCTGTCACGGCCAAGCAGTCCAGCGCCAGCCTCCACACTCTGATGTCCAACGTGACCTACAAGAAGACGCTGCGCCTCACCTCGGACCAGCTCGTGAGTCTGCCCTCGTTTTCCTCTCCGTGTAGATGGTAAATAGCGGTAGTCATGCACGCACACCGTCCCCGACGGTCATTCTGGTGAGGCCTCGAGGGCCCCTCCAAAGCCTGTTGTGACGTGCAAAAAGGACATGCACAGGGTTACCAAGGAAAACGATTCTATGGAAGCCAACGAGCATTTATTGAGCTTCTACTGTGTGCGTGGCACTGGGCATCCAAAGAAAGCCAATAGGCAGTCCCACCCCTCCGGGAGTGCACACTAGAATGGGGAGGTGCACAAAACCAAATGTGGACAAACTTTACCCAGGAGAAGTAGGAAGTAATCCCCAGAGGGAAGACTCTAGAATAACGAGGGATTGGGAAAGGCTTCCTGTGGATCTGAAGGAGGCTGGGAATCCAGGAAGTGGAGATGAGGAGGGGACGTTCCAAGCCTGGGGGAGGGGAAGAGGAAAGGCTGGTGGGGGATGAGGAGTGGCTTGTGCTAGGGACAGCCGGGAGGACGGATAGAGGATCTCTCTGCTTGTCTGTCTGTCTGTCTGTCTAAATGTGAATTAATGGACCCCAAGTTAAGAATGAGAGAGAGAAAGAGAGAAGAGAAGATGGACACAGAGAGAGACAGACAGACAGAGAGGGGGGCAGGGACGGGAGTCAAAATTCCCTTGGAAGGACAGTTTGAGATCAGCTCACCCACACCCCTCCCTGGTATAGGAATATTCCCCTCTAGGAGACTTGAACACTTCCCTCCCCCCTGTCTGTGGCCCCCCCCTCAGTAGAAGTGGCCCCAGGGTCTTCGCTAGAAGCCTTCTGGTGATTGGGATCTCCCTGTCTGTCTCCCTGCCTCTGTCTCTTCCTCTCCCCTCCTTTCTGGTCTGTCTCTCTCTCTCTCTCATACACACACACACACACACACACACACACACACACCCATTCATCTTGTGGACAGCTTTGATTTCTATTAAATGCTTCTTACATATTCTGTTCTCAGAATGCCCTTCTAATGTCTGTGGGCCTCAGTTTCCTCATCTGCAAAATGGGGATTTGGACTCTGGTTTCTTCCTTCTCTGGTCCTGTAATTGAAGAGCATGGAAGCTTCCTCGAGGTTTCATTGCTTAAGAGCTAACATTTACATATTGCTTTTATTTGTAAATCAGTGTACCTGATAGCCCTGTGTTTGAATCTTGCCTCTAGAGTTTTTTAAAGTAAATTTTTCTTTTTTAGGCAATTGGGGTTAAGTCACTTGCCCAGGGTCATGCAGCTAGTAAGTGTCAACTGTTTGGTCTGAGGTCACATTTGAACTCAGGTCCTCCTGACTTCAGGGCCGGTGCTCTATCCACTGCGCCACCTAGCTGCCCCTGAAATAAATTTTATTGATAACTTGTTTTCAAGTCACTTGTGTTTCCTAATGTATCCCTCCCCCTTCTCCTCTCAGTGAGCTCTCCTTTTAACAAAAATAAGGTAGGTGCTATTATTATCCTCATTTTACAGATGAGGAAACTGAGGCAGGCAGAAGTTAAGTAATTTGCCACGAATCACAGAGGTCATAAGCACCTGAGACAGGATTTGAATGTGGGCCTTCTCGCTCAGTGTCTAAATTCTTAGCTCAGGGTCTGGTACACAGTAGGCCCTTAATAAATGCTTGTGGGATGATTGATTGACTGACTGATTGATTGATTGATAACCATACCCTTGGTGTTTTTCAGAAAAGCTTGAAGTTGAAGAACGGTCCCAACGATGTGGTTTTCAGCGTTACCACCCAGTACCAGGGCACCTGCCGCTGTGAAGGCACCATCTACCTCTGGGACTGGGATGACAAAGTGGTCATTTCTGACATCGATGGAACCATCACACGGTACGTCCACCCAGTGACGTGCTTGCCTCCCTGAGGTAGGGCGCAGGGGCTGCCCTTCTCTGTCAGTGTTTCCTGGTGATTTGGCACAATGATTTCTTGAAGGAGCCCCGATTCAGAGGTGCTTGCACAGTCTGGCTGCCGGCTGCTCCCTCTCAGGGCATTAATGGGTGCGCCCTGCTTGGAGCACGGTGTCCATTTGATCACGTTAGCCTTATGGCCAGAAGGAGAATTGCCTGGCTGAGTAAGGGGATGGGATCTTGGTTACCTGTGCTCGAGGGGCAGGAAGCCTTGCCAGGGCGAGTGACCATTGGACAGCATACCTCCTTCCCCTTTCACCTCTTCCTTGACTCTCTCATTCCTCTCTTCCCTTAGATCTGACACGTTAGGGCACATCTTGCCTACGCTTGGCAAGGATTGGACGCACCAAGGGATTGCAAAGCTCTATCATAAAGTCAGCCAGTAAGTGTTCAAGCATTGGTCCTTTTCCCTTTACCCCTCCTTGGTGTCAGCATGCCTGCAGTGCTGATGCCCTATGTGTGATGTCTGTCTTAAAAAAATTAAATTAAAATGTTTTTTTCCCACTTAATAGTCATTTATTTTCTTTTCCACAATGAAAAAAGAAAAACAAAACAAAAAACCTCTTGTCCTAACGATGGGTATGTTGCCTTTTGACCATACAATGTTCCTTCTGGCTGGGAAAGATTCTGAGGTTCTGTGATGACTCTCCCTGCCCGGAGGCCCCACCCTGCCTGGGCTGTGCCCGGCTGGCCATCCACATCCTGCCTGGGTGCCCAACTTTCCATGTTCTTGTGAAGGTCAGGGCTTTCTGCCCTGATTCCTAGGTCTTCAGCCGGGCTGGGGCTTTCTCCCGTGCCTGGCCTGAGGCTGTGCCCAGATCGGCTGCTAGTCAGTGTCTGAGGATAGGCCTTGGCCGTTCTTGGCATGTCAGACCTGGGAGGGGCCTTAGAACGGAGAGCTGGGGTCGCTAGCCTCAGTTTGCTCCCCACGGGGATGAAAATGGCCCCTCCCTCCCAGGGATGTCGTGAGAGCCAGCAGAGAACACGGAAGTGCTCTTTAAGTGCCCCGTGTTGTGATTCTGAGCTGCAAGGCTCTGGGAGCAAAGATCCTCAGGGGAGAGCTGATTGTTAAATGTCCAGTGTGAGCATTTAGGCCTCAGAAATGGGAAGATGCGGTGAATCAAAGGACTGACATTGTGTGGCTGACTTCAAGATTGAGAAAGGGTGAATGATGCTGATTAAGCCTAAAAGTGCTGTTGATAGATATTTTTTTTTCCTGAGATCCCCCCCGCCCCCATGCCCTCTGGCTCTACCTCCTAGTCACTTTGCCTTTGTGGTAGGTGTTTAATAAACAGTGTTTTGAACTGAATTGACCCAGGGATGTTGGAACTGGATGGGGCCTTAGAATATAAACCATGAAAGCTTAGAGACCGTAGACATCCCCTGATCTACTCCCTTTATCTTTTTTTTTTCTGTGAGGCAGTTGGGGTTAAGTGACTGGCCCACGGCCACAGAGCTAGTGAGTGTCAAGTGTTTGAGGCCAGATTTGAACTCGGGTCCTCTTGACTCCAGGGCTGGTGCTCTATCCACTGCGTCACCTAGCTGCCCCTCTGCTGCCTTTATCTCCTTGGGGAGGAAAGTGAGGCCCAGAGAGAGTGACTGGGCTGAGCTCAGGAGAGTCCTGGGGTCGAGCTGGGAATAGGCCCGGACCCCTCGGTGTCTAGCTCAGGTCCTGCCCTCTGACCGGGCCATTCCCTACGCCCAGCATGCTCTCTGCTCCAGGGACCAGAGGGAGCCCAAGGATTTCCTTCCCTTCTTCTTTGATCTGTGCTGGTCATCTGGGTGACTGCTGTGTGCTGCTGGCTGAGTGACCCTGGCAGTCACGTAAGCCCTGGCTTCCTCATCTGTGAAATGGGGGCAGCCAGGAGGACGCAAGGTGCTTTCAAAGCTTAGGCACTCAGAAACCTCAGCTGTTATTGCTAGGGGCCTTGATTTATTTGCCACGGACGTGGGTAGGTATGGTGTGTTTGATTATTTCTCATCTCTGCATGTCTCACATCTCCACATGAGGTGGTGACCCCAGGAGGGACTGCGCCTGGTCCTGACTTCGTTCTCACCCATTCCCCAGGCTCTGCACGCAGTAGGTGCACACACATGCTCGTTAATAAGCGCTGTGCTTTCTGGGGATTTTGTCAAGGAGCCTTCTCTGCTGCCCCCACCCCTTCCCTTTTCATTAGCCCGGGAGAGGCAGCCGGGCTCCGGGGGAGTGGGAGCTGAGCCATGGTGGCTGTCCCAGGGTGGGGGTCATGGATGTGACCGCTCGGTTCTTCTCTCGCCCTCCTGCAGAAACGGCTACAAGTTCCTCTACTGCTCTGCGAGGGCCATCGGGATGGCGGACATGACGCGGGGCTACCTGCACTGGGTGAATGAGCGGGGGACCGTGCTGCCCCAGGGCCCGCTGCTGCTCAGCCCCAGCAGCCTCTTCTCCGCCTTGCACAGGTAGGAAGGAGCCCCTGGCATCTTGCGTGTGCACTACGTGATTTAGGGCTCCAGAGTGGGGGAGGCCTCCCTGAAGAAGGCCCCAGGAGGACACGAGAACCATGTGGAGCTGGAGGAGTGTATGTGGGGGGCTTAGTGCGAAACCTTGGCTTCCCAGCACCCCTCTGCCTCTCCTTCTAGGATCTGTGTTCGAGTCTTGGCTCTATCATTGCCCACAAAGCTTTTAGGGGGCTCAGAATAGAATGGGGGTGCTTGGGATCCTTGATGTCCTTGCATATAGAGGTGCCGTGATTGAGTGTTCTGGGGGCAGATTTCAGTTCAGTGAGAGAATGTTGGCCCTGGGGTGAGAAGACCTGGGCTTGAATCCTGGCTCTGGGCCTCAGTTTCCCCATCTGTAAGATGAACAAGTTGTGCTAGAGGAAGCTCAAGTTTCCTTCCAGCTCTGGTTGGGCTGCTCTAGGAGGTTCTGGGGGCTCTGCCCTGAGGCTGCAGTGGCTTTGAGCTGCCTTCATCCTTGGCTGGGAGAGCTAGGTGATGATTGTCTTTTATTTATTTTTTAAAAATTTTAAATTTATGCTTAATTAATTAACTTATTTTTAGTTTTCAACATTCACTTCCATAATCTTTAGAGTTTTAAATTTTCTCCCTCCCCACCTCCCTCCCTCCCTCCTCAAGACGGCATGCAATCTCTACATATACATTCCTATGAAACATATTTTCACATTACTTGTGTTGTAAAGAATTAGAACCAATAGGAGGAATCACAAGAAAGAAGAAACAAAACAGAAAAAAAAGAGCAGATAGTATGCTTTGATCTGCATTCAGACTCCATAGTTCTTTCTCTGGATGTGGATAGCCTTTTCCATCGATGAGACCTTTGGAAATCCTTGCATTGCTGAGAAGATCTAAGTCTATCAATGTTAGTGATTACACAATGTGGCTGTTACTGTGTACGACGTTCTCCTGGTTCTGCTCACTTCACTCAGCATCAGTCCATACACGCCTTTCCAGGTTTTTCTGAGTCCACCTGTTCATCATTTCTTATAGCACAATAGTATTCCATTACATTCATAGACCACAACTTGTTCAGTCATTCCCAAATTGATGGGTATCCTCTCAATTTCAGTTCTTTGCCACCACAGAAAGAGCTGCTATAAATATTTTTGTACATGTGGGTCATTTTCCCATTTGTATGATCTCTCTGGAATATAGCCCTAGAAGTGCTATTGCTGGGTCAAAGGGTATTCACACTTTTATAGCTCTTTGGGCATAGTTCCAAATTGCTCTCCAAAGTGGTTGGATTAGTTCACAACTCTGCCAACACTGCATTAGTGTTCCAGTTTTCCCACATCTTCTCTAACATTTATAATTTTCCTGTTTTGTCATGTTGGCCATTCTAATAGGTGTGATGTGGTACCTCAGAATTGTTTTGATTTGCATTTCTCTAATCAGTAGTGATTTGGAACATTTTTTCGTATGACTATAGATGCCTTTAATTTCTTCATCTGAGAACTGTCTTTTCATATCCTTTGACCATTTATCAATTGGGGAATGACTTGTATTCTCATAGATTTGACTTTTGTTCTCTGTGCATTTTAGAAATGAGGCCCTTATCAGAGACACTGGTTGTAAAATCTTTCCTAGTTTTTTGCTTCCCTCCTAATCTTGGTTGCATTGGCTTTGTTTGTGCAAAAACTTTTCAATTTAATATAATCAAAATTATCTATTTTGCATTTCATACTGTTCTCTGTCTCTTGTTTGGTCATAAATTCTTCTGTTCTACATAAATCTGACAGGTAAACTATTCCTTGCTCTCCCAGTTTGCCTATAGTATCAGCCTTTATCTCTAAACTGAGTAACCTTTTTTTCTTTATTTTAGTATAGGGTGTAAGATTTTGGTCTATGCCTAGTTTCTGCTGTACCATTTTCCAGTTTTCCCAGCAGTTTTTGCTAAATAATGAGTTCTTAGCCCAGAAGCTGGGGTCTTTGGGTTTATTAAATAATAGATTCCTATAGTCGTTGACTACTGTGTCTTGCATACCTAACCTATTCCACTGATGCACCACTATTTCTTAGCCAGTACCAAGCAGTTTTGATGATTGCTGCTTTAAATACAATTTAACATCTGGACCAGCTAGGCCACCTTCCCCTGCATTTCTTTTCATTAGTTCCCTTGATATTCTGGACCTTTTGTTCTTCCAGATAAATCTTGTTATTATTTTTTCTAACTCTATAAAATAATTTTTGGTAGTTTGATTTGCATGGTGCTGAATAAGTAAATTAGCTTAGGTAGAATTGTCATTTTTATTATATTAGCTCGGCCTACCCATGAGCAGCTGATGTTTTTCCAATTATTTAGATAGATGATTGTTTTTTTAAAGGGGGATTGTCTCTTTCATGCCCTTCAGAGGTCAGAGGGACCCCGACAGCCAGAGCTGAAAGGGAATCTCCCATTGTCATAGAGCTGAAGACTGGCCCCAGACCCTCTATCATGCTCCTTGCCTTCTCCCTGCAAAGCTGCCTCGGCTCTGAGTGGGGATGCTGTGGGGGCCTGGCGGCTCCATGTTCCTGGGAAGGGCTGGCTCTGCATGGCTCCACCTGGCCCCATGTTGTGGAGACCCTTCCCCCGCCCCGCTGAAATGGCCCTGTCTGTCTCTCCCTTTCCTTCTCCCTCCCCCACCCCTTCCTTCTCTTCTCTCTTTCTCTTTCTCACCTCTCTCCTCCTCCCTCCCTCCTTTTCCCTTCCCCCTCTCTTTCTCTGTCTCTGTCTCTCTCCCTCTCTTTCTTTCTCTGTCTCTCTCTGTCTCTGCCTTTGTTTCTTTCTGTCTCTCTGTCTCTCTCTGTTTCTTCGTCTCTTCCTCTCCCTCTCTTTCTCTCTCTCTCTCACACACACACACACACACACACACACACACACACAAGCACACACACCACTCCCCCCCAGTGCTTCCTAGTTGTCTTTCTCTGTGTGCATAAGTGTCAGTCCAGAATCCCTGCTGGGCTGCAAACATGCATGGACCCCCCCCCCGCCCCGGTCCCCGGGGGCCGCCCTTGCTGCTGAGGCTCCCTGGCTTTCTGCTGCTGCGTTCCTTGCTCCAGTGCCAGAGCCCAAATGACGAGGACATACTTCAGAGGAGAAGACGCTTCCTCTGGTCTGGGCATCTTCTCCCAGACCCAAGAGCCATAGTGGCTGGTAAACTGAATGAGAAATCCAGGTCTTATCAGTGCGGTTGGCTGCAGCCTTCTGTGGATGGTCTGCAAGGATTCCTTTGGCCTAGAAATCCCATGAAACGAGGTGCTGTGTGCCCTCCCACTAGGCATACCAAGGGGTGCTCGACACAGCCCCTTGAGGTCTTCAGAGTACTGTAAGGGCCCGAGGAGGTAGGCATTATAGTCCCCATTTCATTGATTGGGAGACTGAGGCTCAGATGTGCGAGATCTGAACCCATCTTCCAGACTCCAAGTCCAGCAGTGGCTGAAGGACACCTCTTTCCCCTCATGAAATACCTTTAAGAAAGTTTTTTTTTTGGTTTTTAAAAAAAATTTTAATGTAGTGAGCTTGCTCAGAAATTTGAGTCAGATTCTTCCCACTGATTAAAGCATTATCTAGTTTTTTTTTGCACTCAGTAGTATTTTATTTCAAAAATATTTTTGAGTAAAATGTGTATGTGTATATGTGCCTTATTTTTTTAGTCATCTTCATTTCTGCAGAGCTCCTTCTTCCCCTCTCAACTCTGAGAGCCTTTCTTCATCTAGGAGAAGGCCTTGCTCCTGTCATTTCCTCGGTCTGGGGAATTCCCTTTGGAGGGTGCTCCCTCCAACCATGCAGGCTTGGTCACTAGACTAATACATGTCAGGAATTGAACCCAGGTCTTCCGGTCCCTGAGCCAACGTTGTATCCCTCAGGCCAAGCTTCGTCTCAGCACATAGTTACCAAGGAAGGATAATTGGTTCATCCAAACCAGCCAACATTAATAATTTCTGACTGTAGACAGTATTCTACATCATAACCCTCACTTCCTAAAAGTACTCCTTAATAACTAGAGTTGTCCTAGAGGGGAGTGGGGCTGTCTTGGAAGAACTGTAAGCTCCCTAAGGGCAGGCACTGCCTCTTTTTGTATCCCCGACACACTGTAGGTGCTTAATATGTATTTATTGAATTGAACTGAATTGGTGGTGAGCTCTGGGTCTGTAGTAGAGGGGATGGGGGTTGGGCGAGATGGCTGCGGAGGCCCCTACCTGCCCTGACTTTTGGGGATGTTGTGTCCCCCTCCTGTTAGATGGTAAGCTCCGTGAGGGCAGGAGGTCCTTGCACCCCCAGAGGCAAGCCCAGCGTCCCGTGCATAGAAAACGCTTCATCCCCCTTGGTTGTTGTCGAGGGCTGTTCCCTGTGTGGGGCCCGGAGCTTGTCCAGACCAGACACCTCCATCGGGATGCTGGTTTCCCAGCGAGTGGCCAATGTGCTACTTTGGAACTGATGGCTCTTCATTACGATTTTCTCTTCACAGAGAGGTCATTGAAAAGAAGCCTGAGAAATTTAAAGTTCAGTGTTTGACGGACATCAAAAACCTGTTTCTTCCAAACACGGATCCCTTCTATGCTGCCTTCGGAAACCGGCCTGCGGTGAGCATTCAGAGCAGAGTGGCCATTACAATGAGACTGTCTTCTTGGGAACGGCATAGGGTGGGGAGGGGGTGCGAGGCTCTTGGCCACGGGCAGTAAGCGTCCGAGCTAGGATTTGAACCCAGGTCTCTGCAAAATGTTTTTCTGTGTCAACATCTCAGTGAGAGGGACCTGGAAGAGATGGGTGAGTGGGAGCTGGAAAAGGCAGGGCTGGGCTCAGGAAAGTGGCAGAGTTCTGGGGATGGTTCCAGACCCTCCAGCTGCCCGCGCAGCCAGGCGGTGGGCAAGGGAACTGTTTTGTCTTCAGGCAGGGAGCTGCCTGCCAGCAGGGACCGTTTTTGCCTTTCTTTGTATGCCCCACCCTTAGCACCGTGCCTGCCACATAGTAGGTACATCATGACTGCTGGTTGACAGTCAGAGTGGAGTTTATTTCCTTGTCTGATGAGATTTTCGTTGACCTTGAACTCATGCTTTAGGACGTTTACTCTTACAAGCAAGTGGGCGTGACCTTGAATCGAATATTTACCGTCAACCCCAAAGGAGAACTAGTACAAGAACACGCCAAGACTAACATCTCGTCGTGAGTATTGCTTCTGGGGGGAGAGAATGTGGGGCATTTAACCCCCATTCCTGTGAGTCTGCCCCTAATTGTTCTGGTGAATCTGAGCTAGGGGAGCTGCCCGTTAACCAAGAATGTGGGCACTGGATGGGGGGACCTCAGGACAGGGAACATTGGCACCTGGAGAGGAGAGGCTAGAGCCTCAAATGTCAGCTCCAAACTTGGTGGAAGAGGAGGAACAGGGGGGTGCTGGCCATGGTCCTGAGCCAAGGGAGAGTGAAAGGGGAGCCTGCAGAGGAGGGTGGCCAGGATGGAAGGAGGGGGCCTTGGCTAGCCTGGACACCCAGGAGGACAGTGTCATTGGACCAAGGACCGAGAAGCTCACGGAGGGCAGTCAGGTGTGGGGATGCTGGGATAGTAGGAAGGATTTAAAAGCCCCAGCAGAGCATTTTGTTTGATCCTGGAGGTCCTAGAGCGTCCCTGGAGCTGTTGAGGAGGGCGTCCCAGGGTCCACCAGTGTTTGGGTAGCCCTAAATTGGGGGAAGGTTTTCTTCCTGATGAGTCACAACCTGCCTAGCCTCCCTTGCTGCCATCTTCCTAGCTCTGCGCTCTGGGGCCAAGCACAGGTTTAATACGTGAAGACGGTTATTGCTTCTCTGCTAAGTCTTTTCCAGGTTAAACTGGCTCACCATTGTGCTCCTCACCATGCCCTCCTTAAAATGGGGCGCCCAGATGGAATCTGTTCAGGGTAGAGCAGAGGAAGCGATAAGGAGATAATGCCCATGGTCCCTGCCCCTCCAGGTGCTTCTGGTCTGGTGTGGGTCATAGGAGGAGATGTGTATCCTAATTGGCTTTCTAAGAGGGATACTGAGGCCCAAGAGAGTAGATGAAGATGCTGACCTCCTGGGGGATGGGACTTACTCTTGGCCATGGAACTAGTTAGTGGCAGACAGGGTGAGGGCTGGGCTCTTCCCCCATGTTTCTGGCTCTGGGGTTGTCAGCATCACTGGACCACAGCTCCTGCTTCCAGCCCAGCACCCACAGGCATCATCTGAGGAGTCAGCTCCCGTGGAGGAGGGAGGGGGCTGATGGTGATCCCCACCCACTGCCCCCCATAGGGCAGCTGGGTCAGCCTGGCTAAAGCAGTAGGATGCCATGAGGGAGAGCCAGGAGTCAGCATGTGTCGAGCAGGTCAGACCTGGGCCGCCATCTTCCCTCTGGCTGGGACCCTGAACCTGAGAGCCGGAAACAGCAATGCTTCCAGCCCCGTGCCCACAAGCATCATCTTGGGAAGCAGCCTGGTGACAGCTTCTGCTGGGGCTGCAGCCACAGCTGTGGAAGACCCAGAAAGGAAGGTACCTGCCACTGGAGAAAGCCCTGGGCCACGCCTGGCGGGGCCGCATCAGGAACAGGCAGATTTTACCCGTGGAGATGACACTGAAGAGGAGGCCTGACCATCTGCTTTGCTCCTGAAGACCACAGGACCTTGACTGGTAGCCAAAACCCTCCAGAGGGGCTGTCTCCCATTAGAGTGGGAACCCCTGGGAAGCAAGGAGTGCCTGGCTTTTTTACTCTTTGGACCCAGCACTTAGCACGGTGCTCTTTACATAGGGAGCCCTTCATGTGCATTCAATCATTCATCCATCCATCCATCCATTGATTTTTCTTTGCATCCCTGACAATACTGAACACAGTCTTTCTTGATTAAGAGAGAGGCCATGTGGCATTGTAAAGATCGGCTGGCCATGGGTTTGGGAAAGCCAACTTCCGAGTCCTGCCTGTGACCTTTGGACTAGGTACTGTGAACAAGTCACCAAGTCTGAGCCTCAGGTTACTGAGAGGAGAAATCATGGGCCAGTTGGAGATCTGCACTGGAGGAGGGGATGTCCACACTGGAAGTTCCCAATATGAAAGAAATCATGGGACCCAATAGCCCCACACTCCCCTCCCCCCAAAAAGAAAAGAAATGGGGAAAACCCTACCTTATAAGGTTGCTCTAAGGCATAGATGTGATGAAGGTTGTAAAGCACTCTGGGAACCTTAAAACACATGTAAATATCTGCTCTTTTGTGAATGGATTTCAGAATAATTCTATGATTAATTCCTTCAAGTGAGATCTGGTGACCTGGTCCCTTCCTAGGAGCTCCGTTCCTTTGTCTGTAGAAGGAGGAGGGGGGACTCCCTGATCTGGAAGGCCCTTCTGCCTTTTGAAATGCACGGTGCTGGAAATGAGCCGTTCATGTTCAGGGTGTTGGGGTGGAAGATAATGGTGATCTTGGTATAGCTCCTGCTGATGTTTGCTCAGCATTTGAAGGTTTGAAAAACCTTCCACTTTGGAACACTTTGAATGTGAGCTCTTACTAGGCCTGTGAGGTAGGCCCACCTGGTGCAGTGAGCCCCAGGTTACAGATAAGGAAACTGTATCCAGAGGGGGAGAGCCCCTCTGCTGAGGTCTCCTAGAAAGGGCCAGGGGTAGGATTTGAACTCAGATCTCCAAGCCCAGCATTCTTGGGACAGTGAGCACCGTGCCTGACGTATTCTCTGCTATTCAAGCCTGACTTCACCTAAGGTTCTCTGATTCTGTGATCAGTTGGGTAATTGAGGGTAGGTGGTGGCTCAGTGGATGGAGTGCAAGATTTGGACCCCGGGAAAGACCTGAGTTCAAATCCAACCTCAGATTGTTACTAGATGTGTGGCCTCATTTTTTATCACCTCTCACTCAGCCTCAGTTTCCTCATCTGTAAAATGGGGATGAAATAGCATCTGCCTCCCAGGGTGGTTGTGAGACGTGTAAAGCGCCTGAGGTGTTTTTACCGTTGTCATTAATTCATGTTCATCGTCATGTGGTGATGACTGACCTGTCTGCTTTCTTTCCAGTTACGTGAGACTCTGTGAGGTGGTTGACCACGTTTTCCCATTACTGAAAAGAAGCCATTCTTCAGACTTCCCTTGTTCGGACACTTTCAGTAACTTCACTTTTTGGAGAGAGCCCTTACCCCCTTTTGAAAATCAGGATATCCATTCAGCCTCTGCTAACACGCACTGACAGCCTTGTGACATCAATGCAAAGGACTGGCTAACCTCCGATTAAAGGATAGGCTTTGTGAAGAGTTCAGTTGGAACTTGGGGCATTGTATCCATTTGCTCAAAAAAATTTAGAAATGTTTTATTCTCCCTCCCCACCTGAACTCCCCCAGCTTCCCCTTGAAACAACATTTCTAAGTAACTTACGAAAAGTCTGTTTTAAGAGTTGGGGGATCGTTGCTTCATTCACTGTGGAGAAAGGCTTCCTTGTTGGTTGGTTCCGTCCAGGGACAAGGGCACAGTGTAATAGCCCACCGTGGCCACCATTGGTCTTTGCACTATGCGGGCTCAGAAAACCGAAGTAGGACTTGCTAGAAGGTTTGCTGGTTTTTTTTTTGTTTTGATGCAGACCTCAATATTACTCAGCAAAATCAAAAATGTGCCGTGCCTGTGAAAAGTGGGCAAAACATTTCCGAGCAGCGTGGATCCCATGCGGCTTATTTCTGAGCCAAAAGAGATCTCACCACCTTGGAAGAGTGGCGTCAGAGGGAAGAGGCCTCTTCTAAGGGAGTCCTACCCCACTGCTGGGAAAGGGCATTTACTTCATGAAGTTCTCTCTGTTGTATTTTTACGTTCTCTGGAGCTGAATTTTGGTTGCGTCTTTTCACATGGTTCTAATCTCTGGGTGTCGGTGAAAAGTTCTCCGTGCTTGTACTCTGTGAAAGATACCCTGATTCCTCCTTATCCATAATACTTAGCTATGTACTTGGCGTATTTATTTTTCTTCCTCCTGCCCCCATGCTCTACCCTCCCTGGAGACCACCCACTTCTGAGAGGGTTCCACTTTAGTGCTGTGGAGATGAAGCTCCTTTTGGAATATGTCCATTGTGGGTGCCAGTGCCCTCTGAATGTCATGAGACACATAGTGGTCTTGGGGGCTGAGGTTTTCAGGCCATTGTCATGGCTCATTTTACCGGTGATCACCGTGTGCAATATTTCCCTTGTTAACATCATTCTCCTCAGCACACGGGGTAACCGAGGCCCTTGGGAAAAGGGCCGGTACCAAAAACGTGGCCTTGAGCTGAATGTGTGCCAAAGGAGGGTGACGGTCGTTTTCTACTTTGTTTGAAGTCTTTCGAAGAGAACATTAAACTGCATTCTTTGTAGGTGTGGCTGATGGCGTCTTCTACTCCTCATTGTATTCATGTATAAACATGCTGGCTTGATTTCTTCTGTAGTCATTTGGATGGTGAGCATCCGAATTCATCAATAATAATTTTATTTTTTAAAAAAGAAAAAGCTGCTCAGCCATTGTTCAGTTTCCCATCTAAAGAGCCATAGCCTGTAGAATTTCACAGCAACGCATCTTGTCTTAAAGTCTTCCTCTCCCCCTCAATTATAGGGCCCCATGGATGAACAGTTGGTTAAAATCAGATCCTGTTTCAGATCTGGGTTTCTTTGATCGTGGCAGGGAGGTGGCCATTCCTTCTCAGGACCAGTATTCATCCGGCTGGCTCATGGGGAAGAGATTTTGGGAAATGGAAGCCTGCCTTGGTGATGAGACCGAGCTTCCTATTTTTGAGGATGTATATTTTTTTTAAAGAAAGTCTTACTTGTGTAGCTGGGAATGCTTTCCTATTTCAATTGCACTATCAGACAACTGAGAGAAACCTGGGAATGGTTTAATGAAGTCTTTATTCTTTCTGTGAAAGAAAGTCCATAGATACTCCTTCACTCTGGTGATTTCTCTCCCAGAAAGAACCCTTTTTTTCCTACCGTGAGTGGTTTGTATAGACACCCAGGTCCGCACAAACATACAGGCGTCTGCATTTGTTGTATTTACCAAATGCACAGACAAACACAGGCGGGCTTAGCTCCTGGTTCTGCATTCGCCCCTGTTGGGTTTGTAAGACCTTCTGAAGTGCACCCGGGCTTCTGGACCATGGGATGGTGGGGAGAAGTTTCAAGGGCAGGTAAGAATCATCCAACCTTGGGGGCAAGAAGAGCTCATCCCAGCTCCTTCATGCCTTACCTCCAAGAGTCACTTTGTCAGGGTTCAACCTGTATCACTCCCATTTAGAGTGGTG